ACATGAATATGCTTGGTCATTTCAGAGACCAGAGAGAGACAATCGAGTGCAGCTTCATCTATAACCCCCATCTGAAAATAATAATAAAATGATGGACCAAAATAAGCAGGATATCTACGGTTGGGAATAGATGGCACAGAAAACAAGCAAAAGGTTAACCACACACCAGCAGAAGTTACTGCAAACCAAGTTAACAAGGGCTTTGGTTCAAATAGCCTAACCTGGTTGTAAACAAACAAACTTGATAAGAGGATGGCCAAGGAGAATATCTGGGCGCTGTACGTCCCCTGTCAAAAGGAAGCGATTGGAAAATAAATAACATTACTATAACAATCACCAAAAATATTTGGTTGAGAAGTGGGGGTGGGATAGTGATACAGATAACTGTACAAATTATTAACCAGCTTATTTGCCAATACTAAGACAACCACAACTGGCTGATGATGCACGCAATGCATCACACTTCATTTGCATACAATCCACATCAACCAAGTGAGATGAAAATTATGATTGATGCATCTGCCGAAACATAAAATTACAAGCCAAAGAGAAACTTCACTGTTTGACCATAAGCATCAATCCCTTCACAGTCCAGCAGTACAAGACTGTATTCAGTTCCATCCAACGCAGCTCTCTTCAAAGGTTCACTCCATATCCAAATCCCTTTAGTGCAAGGTCGATGGGTTGACCCAACTTGAAATCCAGTGCTCCTACCAAGAAGCTATAGCAAGTTCCCGCAAGTTAAACATTTGAGAATTACGTTCAGTTCACATTCTTCAAAGATGATATTCAATATAACAGAAATGCCTTCACCAAAACTCCAAAAAAAATCCAAACATCTGTTCATTTATTGCAGGATAATACAAGGAACAATAAAGGAAAACACTGAGATGGCTTTTACACCAAAAAGAAAAGAAAAAATTAATTGCAAGCATCCATCTTTCCTTTCCCTGACATAGTAGTACTTCACCCCCACCACCCAAAAATGCCTAAAATCATGATCACCTCTTACAAGTACATGATCATCACCACCAAACAAGCCCAAAACTCTCCTAACCCCAAAAATCTACCAAAAAACAGAGCATCAAGTGTTATACTAGCAATACTCAAGAACCCCACAAGTCATACATTATCCCATACACAACATGCAAAAACCCCAAAACAAAAAAAATAAAAACAAAAAAAACAAACTTTACAAAAACCCAGTAGCCAAAAGAAGTACTTTTGATGATTTTATTAGTCATTTTTCCTTTTGGACTAGAACAACAGATGACCATGAAAGTTTCCATTTGGGTTTAATTTACCTGGTTCAAAAGGAAGCTTTTACCCTGCCTTGCACGCCCACAAACAGAAACAACACCAATGGGTCCTTTAATTTGCATAAGAGCATCAACGGCATCTGGGTGCACTTTAAAGTTGCCACTTTCATCATAGTAAATGAATTTTATTGGTCTTCCTGCATTGCTTGGCTCTGCATTGTTGGTGTTTTTGCTATCCTTTTCTGGAAAAGAGACCGGGTTTCTCATCTTTTGCATCATTCTCTTGCAGTGTTTTTTGTTCTCCAAATGTTGTTGTGGGTTTTACAGCAGTGGGTTTCGGTCATTGATGGTGGTTTGTTTATTTGGTGGGTTTTAAAGAGAGTGAGAGCTTTAAAATATAGAGAGATGCTGAAAGGCTCATCTGCTTCTATGAGTTTTCTTAATTTGCAAGGAAGGTTTTTCTGAAAATTATTATTTTTTTACATTTTTTATATTTATTGCCTTTTCCAACTTGAGAACATATTTCTTGAACCCGTCAAGGTTCTGGGTCATTAAACAATAAATAAATACCTTAACAAACTAACTTTTTTTTCCTTTGAAACTGTATGTATTAAACTTTTTACGTTCTATTCCAAAGTCGGCCTTTTGATCCAATCTAGTTCAACTTGGTTATGGTAAAGTTAATATCCTAATTATTCTAACTATTAACCCGGTTCATATTGAATCTTAAATAATTAAATTTCTAGACCAAATCATCATATTATATTAGATTATGTTTGTCAATCATGTTTCAAAAGATTGATAAAAAATGTCGCATCCTTACAGAGAAACACAGCGGAACAACGATCCTTAATTGATTTTTTATTTTATTTTTAATAAGGAAGTTACCACCTAATAAACCTAATTGATTTTTCAGAGATTCTAAAATAAATGAATGGTTGCGTAAAGGAAGACATTAGCACCCTAGTACGCTCTACTTAAGATAAGTTGCTTAATGTTTGATTCGTCTTATAATTGCTATGATGTTGATATTTTCTAATTCTATTAGTTTTTCTAAGATAAGTTTGCTATAATAAATAAACATGGACTCAAAGTCTAAAAAGAAAGAAACATTTAGTCAATATGGATTACACCCTTAGATATGTCTACATAGTACTTCAAGGAACCAATACGGATCTTTTGAAATCTGTGCTTGATTCAAACTAAATTTATTAAGATAGAAATTCAAGGAGATTTCACGTGCTTTAAAAGCTCATTTTTCCTTTGGTATTTTAAGAGTTTGTGACTCATAAATCGCAAGGAGGAGGGATAAAAATTTAGAAATCTAAGAAAATTTAGGGTACTTTAAAAGTTTATTTTTGCGTTAGTGTTTTATACTCTCACGGCTCGTAAACCGTGGAGTCAAAAATTAAAATGTTCTCAATTATAATCAAAGCTTCTTTCAAGGATATGTGATGATTTATTCTTCCTAAAAAGTTATTTTGGATATTCATCACTTAGGGTTTCTTTATCCAAATATTAACAGTGAATAATAACAAGTTATTTCTAATAATATTTTGGATATTCATCTCTTTGGAATTTTTTTATCCAAACATTAACGGTGAATAATAGATGAATTCTCCCCAGACTAAGATTTTTGTATTATTTAGAATATTGGTCAATACCCTTTGGAGTTTTACAAATATATTGTCAAATCCAGAAATACAAGAAAATAATTTTTGTTGTGTTTAAGAAATCCATGTGAAAACATATTTTTGAAACCTTGGTGTGTGTGTGTGTGTGTCTATATATATATATATATATATATATATATATATATAAAACATTGCGTCGAAATCCAGGTATTCTAAATATGAGATTGATATATATTTTTTTTACAATATAAAAAAAATTAGACTTTAAAATAAATATGTTAGAAAATAAATCTCTTTCTCTTTATTTTATTTTTTCAAAAAAAAAAGTAGGTCTAGCCAGGTCATTTGCAAAGGGTGCAATTAAAGTTTAATGAAAGTTGGCGAGTTACTGTTCAAGTGAATTAATTCACTTAAATACTAGAATCACAAAGGAAAATGTCATCAAAGAGACCTTATTACTATTTAAGTGAATTATAATTCACTTGAATAGTGCAAACATTAAAAAAAAATACATGCAAGAGGTGAAGAAAAACAGACCTTAAGATGATGAAGATGCAGCAACGTTGAAAGCATGATGGTTACTCGATCTATGTTCATCTGTTTCAAACCTTTTCCTTCTATTCTGTATTTGCATCTATTTCTTGCCTTTTCTTTCCTCTATGTCTTCTTCATTCTCTCTATTAGTTCATGCACTTTTTTCTCCCTTATTCTGCAGATTTTATTGGCAGAAAAATAAAGCAAAGACTGAAAGTCAATCCCTGCTTTTTCCTTATTTCTCCTCTCTTTTTTTTCTTTTCTTTTCTCTTATTTCTCTTCTACTATCTTCTTGATCTCACAATAATGCAAGGATGAAGGAAGAAACTCCATCTGTTCTTTACATTTTCTTTTTAACTATCTATATCTCTTGCGTTTTTTATCTTTCTTTTTCTATTTTTCTCTGTTCTTTCTTTCTTTTTTTCTCCTCTCCTTTGCTAGGTTATTAAAGAGGCTTATAAATAGTCTAATATATCTCTATTTAGGAAAGATTCAATGTATTAATTCTAGGATGCAAATCCCTGTTGATTTGTAGTAAAAAAACACAAAAAGGAAACTAAAATATTTTGATTCCTATTCTAATTTTTAGCACTTAGTTTCCATTAATCAAAGGGTGATACAACTCTTTTCTTTCCTTTAATAGCTAGGACCATGAGACACTAGTTATTTCCTTTGAAATGAGGCAATAAAAACATGGTATGCAGCTCTCCAATCCAGCAAGAGAAATATATAGAAACCAAACAGGAAATTACAAATAAAAGGAGAGAAAAACCGGGATAGCTGTGCAGAAAAAAACGTGGTTCTTCAATTACTTCCTTCTAATTTTATCTTCAATCAACTTCTTTATTTTAGTACCTTTTTCCATTTAGTCCTTGGTCTAAAAAAGAGCTTCAAATTGGCCTGCAATTGATCTTTAAACTTTAAACATCTTGCAATTGTGTCCCTAAAAACTCGGGCAAAAATGCTTCTAGTGTCAGGAATCCCTACTTTTACACTAGATATTCAAATGAGAATATCTTAAGCTTCTGATATTGAAATCAAGCGATTTAAAAGACCAAATTTATCTACAAGTCTAGGACTACAACCTTGATGAAGGATTCAAAGTGAGATAAAATCGTTTTAGAGAATAGAATCTAGTAGTAATCTGGTTGGTTAAAAATGATCTCCTAATCTAATTCAGAAACTAACATTGTCGAGCATTCCAATATGACTGAGAGTATGACCTAAGAATAAATCAATAAAATTTGTGACAAAAATAGAGTCTTTAATGCAAAACTCGGGTCAGGATCCTTCTCGTGGCAGAATTATGTGTTTTCACGTTAGATATTCAAACAAGAATATTATGAGCTTTTGATATCAAAATCAAGTGATTTAAAAGTCCCAAATTCATTTATATTTGTAGAGTTACAACATTAATAAAGGATAAAAAAAGGATAAATCATTTTGAATAACAGAATTGCAACCAAACTCGATTGGAAACCTTCTCGTGATAGGATTCTATGTTTTCATGCTAGATTTCAAATAGAAATATCTTGAGTTTATGATATTGAAATAAAGCAATTCAAAAGCTCAAATTTATCTATGTGTCCTAGATTATAACTTTGATAAAGGATTCAAAATGAGATAAAATCATTTTAGATAATAGAATCTGGCAGGAATCTGGTTGGCCAAAAAGATTTTCTTGATCTGAAGATGCCGAGCATTCAAGTCTAATTGAGAGTCTGCTTGAAGAATAGTGATCTGGGTTCCCTCGCCACACACCACTTCTCTCAAGGAAGAAACCACGAAGGTTGTCACATCCGAATATTGTGGCAACTGATTAGAAAAATAATCTCAATTGAAAAAAGAAATAGATATATGTCATCTTATTCTTTTAAGAAAAAAAATATCTTGTTTAATTAGTCACCACCTGATATTATAGTCATTAGGAACCCTAACCAGTTAATAGAGATTTTATGGTATGAGATTGATTACGGAAAAGGAAAGATGTTATTATCCCGTAAGCATCCTCCTTAAGGCAAGTCAATTTTTCAACATGTAATGAGTGACAAAATATAACTAGAATGTCAGATATCATAAGAAACCAAGTCAGAATCAAAGCCTTAGTTGGAACAAAAAATTATAATAACAACATAATCAACTTTTTTTTTTTAAATGTAAATTCTGAGGGATTTATATGAAAGCTCCTTATCAACTTAAAAAACCTAACGCTTTTGACAGCAAAGGGAGATGATAAAAACAGTAGAAAACAACTCAAAAAAGGTTAAAAAAAATATTTCTTCCTCTTTCGCTTTTGTCAATTTTTCAGCAAACATGAGCTACACTCCTACACTTGGTTTAAAAAGGGTATACACCATTTTCAACATGTGGGGCCCATAAATGAGAAAAAAACAAAAAACATGATAAATTTTATATTACTATCTGAGTTGGTCACACATGCTACATATGAGATGTAGGTCGTTGTAATGATTCAAATGTCTCTGTGAAAACTAGTGTTTGGCTGTCAGGAATGTTAAACACATTGCTCGAAAAGAGTAGGCATAGTCATATGCTTCCTCATGCAACATACGAACCAATAAGAATTTATTTTCAATTAATATTTCATGTTTATTAAAAACCTAAAATACTTATGTTCCAACCTGATTATAACAAAAAACAAAAAAAAAAACTTAGACAAAACTTATAGAAAATTTGGCTTCTAAGACATTTATGTCATTTTACTATATTTCTTAAAAGAAAAAATCAAACAACCCCTGGATGTTAGTTCAATATTTATTGTTTTCAAGAATAAGTTAGTCATTTTATTATCCAAAAAAATTTCAAAAACTATAATATTACCCTAATTTTTTTTGTTAAGATGAGAAAAATCATTATTTTATTGTTTCAATTTACAGTACCAATGAGTTTAGAGCTATAATAGATTTGCTACAGAAATCCATCAGACCTTTCAGTTTCTTTTAATTTGCAAGAAAGGTTTTTCTGAATTTTTTTATATTTCTATATTTATTGCTTGTTACAAGTTGAGAATATATCATAACAAAAAACTTTAAAAAAAATAGGTTAATGACTAGGTTTTAATTGAGTCAAGCCCGAATTATCAAGTCAAATTAGGTTTTTTACCAAGCCAATCACGTTTTTTTTTTCCCGGATCGACCTACTAGGTTGGTTTAATTTTTAAAATAATTATTAGATCCTGTCGAAAGCATGAATTTGTCAAGGTTTTGAATTATTAGATCACTGATTAACCTATGAAGTAAGTAGCTTGGTTTAAGACATCAATTACCTTAATAAATTTATTTTTCTATCCTTTGAAACTATGGGTGTTGGAATTAAATTAACACCATGTTTGAAAATGTGTTTGAAACCATATTTTAAAAAAATTTAATTTCTTAATTTCTTTCTTAACTTTTTATGTTTTTGAATCGTTTTGATATGTTAATGTTAAAAATATTTTTTTAAAAAAAATATATATATATTATTATGATGCATATCCAAAAAAAAAAACAAAGTCAATTACTATCATATTATCAAACACCCTTTAAATCATGTGTTGTTAGTAGTGAGTTGATAATGTATTTTTAATTAATACAAGATGTCAAGCGTTTGAATCCTATTTTAAAATTTTTTGGTTTTTCTTTTTTTTATATATAAAAAATTAACCTCATTCAAAAAGGGTTTTGGTAGAGTTAATATCCTAAACTATTATGATTATCAAGTCACTAAATTTCTAGATTAGTTTGTCAGATTACATTATAAAAATTGATCAAATAAATAAAAATATTTACGCTAGTATTTGGGATGCCAAGTCTCAATGAATATTCATTGTTTAAGTTTATATTAAACCTATGTATTATTTATTATTTATTGAATAATAAATTTAAACATACAAATCTTATTCATCCAATTACACACACAGATATATATATATAGAGAGAGAGAGAGAGCCATTTAGATGAGTTCGGTTCAATATGTACATCCCTGCTAGAAAGATGACCGCATCAATACGTACAAAGTAAGATTTTTCCTTTTTGGGAAGAAGCTATCTTTTGCAACATGACTATAGTAGTCGAAGTACCAGAGCATGGTTTTAACCCTATAAAAAAAGCAGGAAGTAAATGAAGAGATAGTCTTAACGTCTCAAGTTTAGACTCCAATTTGTAATGGAGCTGTACCATTGACCACTTCACAAAATCTCCTATGATTTGCTAAGTGAAATTGGATGTGTCGGCCCTATCACTTGCTCAAAGAAGAAGCTATGCCATGGATCATTGAAGAGATCAATTTCTAGAGATTATAAAGAGCATGAATTCATATCATACATGATGACCAGCTAGAGGATTTAGCATGCATGAACTCGTTCAATGCAGAATTATTCAAGAAGAAACTTTGATAGATTAATAATACTGAGGCTATCATAGATCAGTCGAGAGATCAACTGTTTTTCTAGCAGCTGCAGTTCGTATTGATCTGTTGAACAAAGTATAGACAAGAACCTTCTACCAATTAGAGATCACCATTCCCCACAATAGCAGGAGCGGCTATATATTGGGCTAATTTTGGCCCATCAATTTTGACCCTAAGAACAAAATGCCAATCCGAACTTGCTGCACCCTATAAAAGGGCACTCGAAGATTATCCTTTCTATCCACGTCTTGAGTTCTAATCTTCAGAAACACCGAAAGACATGGATTCCTCTTTACACCACCAGTCACAAAGCCAAGGCAACCGGCCTCTCAAACCCAGAAAGAAAAGGCTCGCTAGAGACCAGCTTAACCTCCTGGAAACAAGTTTCAATGCTAACCAGAAGCTCAAAGCAGAGCACAAGACTGAGCTTGCCCGCCAGCTAGGCGTGCCACCAAAACAAGTTGCAATATGGTATCAAAATAGAAGAGCCAGGCACAAAAATGATGCCATAGAGCATGACTACATGAACATCCAGCTAGAGCTAGGTAATGTATTGGCAGAAAACATCAGGCTCGAGAAACAAGTTAGCATGCTTAAATTTGAGCTGAACAAGGTTCAACAAATGATACTTTTTGGATCAACCTCATCTGCTGCAACTCTCCCTTCAGTGTCAGGATCTAGTGATGAGCAGGCAAACTCAAGTTCTCCTGGAAACATGATCTGTAATTGGGGAGACGCTGGAAATGACGACATATTTCCTGTAGAAGAGCTATATACTTGTTTGATAGGCTCTGAAACTCAGTTATGGCCTCTTAACTGAACCAGCGAATCCTCAATCATGAAACAAGTGATGACAGCAGAATGAAGAACTTCTGAAGTTCTTCCAAAAACATTAGGTTGTTTGTATTTTATGGTGAAGTCAAGAAATTTTATTCAATGTTCAATCTTCAAGCAAGTAGAATATCAGTAAGAAAATATAAAATTTCATATTGTTCCACTAGCAGTTACAGTTCAACTCCAACCATGCACTTTTTGCTCCATTTCCTAGCCAGAGAGCAAACAGAGCTGAGACTTGTGCAGAGATAACCTGGCTGTTCAGATGAGAGCAAGTAGAAATATTTTAATTTTACAAAATTAAGAATGCAAGCTTAAGATTTCACAACACATCACAGATTACAACTCAAGACGAAATCTTCAAGCTTAAATGAAAGTTCAAGTAGAAATACCTGCTCTCTTCGGCTAATTGTAAAAATATACCTGCTTCTGTCATTATCAATTGTGGGGCTAGTTTCCTTCATGATAAAATTTGGGTATATGCATGCACTTCACACTCTGATGACCCATTTCTAGTTCTTGAAATTTGAAAAACTTGGCCAGCTGGTGGTACCCATGATGCCTGGTTGTCCCTGAGTCCAATAGGGTCCCACTTAATTTAGTTTCTTCCTTCAGCACTTGTATACAGACATGACAAAGTCCAATCAGTTTGACATAAGCTGTGCAAAACTTCTGAACTTGCTTCACACAGCAGCAAGTTGTTCTGCTATTTGTGTAAGAAATTAAGTTACATTGCCAATAAAAAAGCAAATTTGACTACCAATAAGACAAGCTAGATTCAGCTCAAACATAATGTAATCTGACCCAAACACGGCTAATCTAACTCAACCTTCAGAAAGGTGTAGAAGACCACAAAAGTATGGCGCAGAGACAATAGAAAAAATTACTGAAACTATTAAATTTAAAGGTAAAGTTAGAGGTAGGCCTACTTCTGAGGAAGAAACAGATTACATATGACAAACAATCATTTATGACTCCTATTTCAGGCTATTACAAAAAAGATAACCATAGACCAGAGGCATGAACCCTGAACTAAAAACAAAAACACGTCCCAATTCCCAGACCAGAAGGGAACTAGACAAGACTAGTTGAAACCATCGGGTGAACCACCAAAGCCAGTTATCCTACTCTATTGCTAAATAATTGATATATGCAGGAATCACAAATTAATTTGCATGATCATCAATAAGCGACAGAAAGAAAATATTGTAACAGCTTTTGGCATTACTTGTAGACACACAATTCTCCTGTTACTTTGGAAGCACAAGATTTCAAGATACAGGATGTTGTTCAGGAAAAGGATCATAACATACCAAAGGAAAGAACCCTGAACAGAAAACAGCACATATCCTGATTTTCCGACAAGGGAACTTGAAAAGACTGGTTGATATCACCTGGATGAATGCTATATTATCCTACGGTAGCAGTAAATAATAAAATATAAGCGTGAATCAAAATAATTAGCAATGACCATCCATAAAGACTGTCAACAAAATAATATAATTTGGTCCACAGCGGTTGGCGTTGCTTGTGAGAACACAATTCTCCAGTTAGATTAGAAGTTCAAGCAAGAGATAGCTCAAGTAGCACATCATTCACCAATTTGAATGATATGATATTAATAATAGTCAGATATGTCTGATAAGTTTCCATACAAAGAAAAAAAAAACTCTCTAATGAATGATTCTAACATTTGCAATGACGAACACAGATCGTCCATGTGTCTTGTATTCACAACATTCAAAATATTTTCTTATATTAATCACAGCGTGGGGAACAATACGTCATCTTGCAATTAATGCTTCTAATTTTTTATAGTTTCTCAAGTTTCTCGAAAAATTAAATTTGTTTTAATTATGCTTCAGAGTGCCAAGTCTGAAATCCTAACTTTGGAAACCAAGTGCCGATTTGCTACAACCTAATCAACTCAGAACACATATCATACAAGAACAATGAATATCCTGCACAGTAATGAAAGAACTAGGCTCTTAATAACTGAGATAGCTTTTTCAGGGTGATCCTGATGCTATTTGTGAACTGCAAATTCACATGACAGGCATGCTTGCATCTGCACTAATAATATTGTTGAAAAGCCCAGTTAAGAGTTTTATCCCAGCTAGGGAATTAAAAACTTATTCTTTCCGACTCAGATCAAGCTTATACAACAGAAGCACCAAGCTTTTATTCACAATTTGAGAGTTGGTTAAATCACAAAAGCAACATGCTTTAACATGCAAATCATCTGCTATAAACACAACTTCTTATACCTCCATAATCCAACAATCCACACACAAAACAACTACAGCCTCAATAAAAAATACAGAAACTTTCAATTCAAGAAAACAGAGTTTACATATTACATTCTGTTACAAGAGGAAGGTAGTAAGGAGGCTCGGAGATCAAGGAAGAAGAGATCAATAACAGCCTGTGACAATTAAGAAGAAAATAAGAAGAGCATGTGATGAAAGTTAGTTAGTTGCAGTGTTTAGTTGCTTAGAATTGTTGATTGTTAGTTAGATAGTCAGTTGAGATAGTTAGGATGCTGGAGTTCATCGTATATAAATCATTGTATCAAGAACTTGTGAGGCAGGTAATGAAGGAATAAGAATTCTGCAGTTGCAGTGCTTCTCTCTCTCTTTTAGTTATCTCCTTTCTTCTTCTTCTTCTAATTCTCTCTTCAATTCTTATGTTCTTTAGCTTTGTTAGGGGAGACCTTCGTTAGCCTTATAACAACCTTAACACATTCCTACTTTAAAGCGTCAAGCCAGCAAAAAATAAAACCCGAAAATTGATTTTATACGGAATAGATAAAAAAGGAAAATAAAAACCAATCCTTTTCCATCATAAAGGAGGGTTAGAGAAGTCAAAATACAAATTAAGCAATAAACTTCAAAGAGAACCAAACATTATACATGTTCCAAGAACATTAAAGCAGTCCAAAAATAGTTACAAAGCAGGGATAAACTGTACTGGTCCTCGGTACTAAACTAAAGCAAACCTCTGGGAAAAAACTCTACATGGATGCCTGTTCTTGACTTCTATTTTCTCTGGGGAAAAAAAGTATGTTACAGTTTAACACTGACCTGTAGATGTGATGCCTATAATGGACCAAAAATGCCCCTTGACATCAGAAAAGAGCTCCACTATGAATAAGAGGGATAACAACGAGCGGATAGCAAAGCCTTAAACTTGCAGCAACTAATCTTTTGAAAGGTCTGCCACCAATCAACAAGTCCCAAACCAGACCATGGGAAAAACATGAAAGAGGAAGAGAGAGGTTGTTATACTCATTATTTTTTCTCTTTAAACTTACATCACCTAATTTGCATTATTAATTATGCTGCCTAGGCACTGAATTTTAAATTTCCTTGCTAGGCAGCCAAACACCAGAGAGAGATGATGAAACAATTAGTAATATGACTTAAGATGGAACAACTGATCCTCAGACTTTCTAAACTAAGGGTAAACAATATGTAGCTGTGCTTAGACATCAAACATAGTTTATGAAGCATAGTCCACTTTGACACTTCCCAAATCTCAGAAAGTGAAAATAAAACTGCAGTGCAATAATCTACCCAAAACACTAGACTCAAATCTAAGAGTAGCCACTCCTCAACCATTCTGGCCTAGCTGTTGATTAAGAGGGATCCACCTCCACTAGTAAGTTCTAAATTCATCTCCCTTGAGAACTGAACTAAAGTGTGCTAAAATCCAACACAGTGATGCTATAATACACACCCTCACTTCTCTCCGAACAATTATGTTATCATTCATATGCCCTCCAACATTACACGTCCAAAATTGCACACAAGTATCGAAACATTTAGTTCAAGATACAAACTTTACAAAGTAGCTATATGGTTTCAAACCTTATCAAGCATGAACTAGAATGCAAGAAAGCACCGCCAAAACTCCCACTCTCTCCAGTTGCCATTACTAAGACCTTTCCCAGTTTCAGCATATAAAAGAAATCAAACTCAAAACATACACACAAAATGTACTTAAGAGAGCTTATACTTCAAGCATCATCAACCATCAAAATTAATCTCAAAGAAAATAAAATGCAATACGATAACACCCAAATACTCATTTTCTTCGATCACCATTACTCACATTAAGAACCCAATTCACAGCAATACATTACAATCACAAAAACACCAAAACATAACCAAGACTGAAAAGAAAGGAAAAAACCTCATAAATTCTTCTTCTTTTTCCTGAATATAAACACATCAGTCTCCTCATAACAATACTCAGGATGCAAATCCTCCTTCGGAACTTTCTCACTCACAAAAGCCTCTCCACAAATCTCCCAAAACAACTTATCCGCCTCCGGTGATCTCAGTTGATACCCCAACAAAACAACCCCATCATCTTTCACCAACATTTCCATGGCCTTCACCAATGCCCCCACACTCTCTTCAATATAGACAACATCCGCCGCGATTACATAATCAAAGGGGGGATTAACCCCATTAATTTGATCCTCATTACTCCAATAAAGAATCGCTGTCTTCAACATCTTGCCAAGAACTTGTTTGTTTCGCTTTAAGTTGTGTTTCAAAGCAGGCATCACAGCATGGATGTCAGTAAGGACAATGTCAGTGAGTCCAAGAAGGTAAAGGGCCATGCCAGTGACGCCACAGCCGGTGCCTAGCTCGATGGCACGGCGGTTGTGGAAGTCTAGGAGGGTGGAGTAACGGTTTGGGGTGGTGGTGGGGTTCGTGGATGGTGGGGTCCACCGGTCGAGAAATTTGGAGAGTACTAAAGAACCTGACCAAACTGAAGTTCCCACATGGAAGGAACTGTTGTCTTGTTGGAGAGACAGAGTCTTGTCTTTGATCTTGAGGTCTATTCCAGGAGAGCCTGTGAATTTCATGTCTCTGTTCTGTGCTTTTGCTGTTCCCTGGTTTCTTCAAAATAGAAGTTTAAGGCTTCAGAGGAGCAGGAGTTGAAGTGGAGGTAGGGTTGAAGGCGGTTGTTTTTTTTGGGAAACATCAAGTTTAGTCCCTAATGCATATATTTATTTTCAACTGAATCTCAAAACTAAAACTTGTTGTCAATTTGGTTCTAACCTTTTTTTTATCAAAACTAAACCGAGGCTTAGTCTACAATCCTTCTCGTTCTGTACAAAAAAACTGAAAATGTCACCAAATACAGAAATAAGGACCCGATTGAAAAATGTGGGAAACTATTGGAATCTATTTGATAAACTTTATAGGCTATGGATGCAATTTAGAATGAGCATATATATATATATATATAGGTTTTCCATTGTGTTTCTCGTTGCGTTAGAGTGCTGACGACGATGGAACACCATTATGGGCTTTCAGCTGACAGGGCAGTTGGTCTGGGCTGTGCAAACTGCTACGAACATGTTTGATCGAGTATATATGATAACGTAAGACTGTTCACGATTCATCCATATGAAGAAAAAACAATCATGAGAGATCTAGATGGGGACAGAATTATTCTGTCTAGAGTACATGAAAAATATATATTTTTTATAACTCAGTTGTCGGGTTAGTTTATATATATTACAATTAATTTTAAAATTTATTAAATATTCTACAAATTTATTAAGTAGATAAGTGAATAAAACACTGTAAAGATTACAGATATACACATAAAAATTTTAATCTAAAATGTAAAAATAAAGAATTCGTTGTCAGAATAGCTAGACCAAGAACATGTGAGTGCACATTAAAAATATTATTTTCTCCATAAAAATGCATTTTCTTGCTACATAGTAAGCCAGAAATCAAACCTTATCCAACATGGTCCACAGCTATTCTGCCTGCCCTGAAAACCCCATCATGTTTTTTGGCACTAGCTAGCTAGCACAAAAGGCTAACATGAACACACACATCAAATAATAATACTCCACGTCTATATATCTTACATGGATGGCAATATTTCACTGAACTTTGACATTTTTTAACTATTATTTTGAATAAAAAATATGTACCTCTAGCGCTGTTTGCTACATTGTCAAAAGCTAAGATTTGGAGGTGAGAAAATGCTGTGCGCATGGATGTAAATTTGCGATAAGCATTGGATTACTTGGAGCACATAAAAAGCAAAACAAAGCAATGATCATTCCATCATATCAACTAATAAAGTTGGTAAAATAAAAAGATGGGGGAGGGGTAAGAACATTTTCCTTTTCTCTTTTACTTTTTTTTTGTTTTCTTTTCTTTTCATCTTCTTTTATGCCATTATAATCTGTTGTACCTCAATTAAGGAAGCTAGACAAATGAAAAGGAGCTTATTTGGTACAGTGTAACTTGGTTTGGTTGCAGTTGTTTTTTAACGTGGTCTCTAGTTTGCCCTCCTGCAGGACTGTCTTGATCACTTTGAAATATTTTCTGCCTTTTAGGGTACATTTGAAGCTGATTCAAAGAGGAGATCTGATCACTTCCCGAGTTCTCCACGTCACTTGCTGGATTAGTGCTTACAGGGCTTGAACCATATAGTCCACAGAACTTGTTCCCATCTTGAACTTTATTAGCGTTGCTCTTCAGCGCAAAACTTCCAAGGAATGATGGATCAGTTGAAGTTGCACCGATCTGAGCCACTGATCAATAAAATCTGTCAGCAAATATGTTTTCTTGGCCTGGTTGGATAATCGACGTGTAATTGAGGGAATGCTCTCTTAAGAAAGTTACCAATATATTTAAAGATCTACAACTCAATTTCTATTAGTTTCCTAGATACTTTTGTTTTAATAATTAATTAAAAATATAATTATAAAAGCTGATTTTATCTAGTGGGCCAACCCGGTAACTTTCCAACTTAGAGCTTGAGTTAGGTTTTATTTTGAATTATGTTTTTCAAATGATGTTGTTTTAAGGTTTTTTTTGGTAAAAAAATCAAAATAATATTATTTTATTAAAAAATTCCATAACTCATATTATATTCATTGGTTAAGCTAATCTATATTCTAAACCGAATCTAATAACTATATCATGGTGTGGGACATTATAAGAACTGAAATGTGCTTCCCTCTAATTTCTGCTTGAAAAATATAACATAATCTCTTGTTATAGTATATAATACAGTTATGCATAGTACTTAATTAATTTGCTGATAGAAAAGCTACATTAATTTATTTAGACAATAAGCTAATTATATAAAACCCTACTTTTACGAGAAATTATGAAGCCTTTTGCCATTGGAAATACCCTCACAACAGTGCGAAACAAAGGCAATAATGGAGCTCAAAAGGTGAAGTACTCTTGCTTTGCTCCCACTACTATTAGCCCTCCCTTGCTTTTTCTCAAAAAATAAAGGCCATCATGTTAAAGGAATCACTTTTAGGGTTCAACAGAATATGCATGGATCTCCTTCCTTCAACAACTACTCTTCAATAGTTTTCTAAGCATAACCTTTTAGCCCTCCATCAAGCACTCATGAATGCCACCTTTTCCTTCCTGCAAAGTTTCCCATTACTAAAATCTCAAATACTTCTCTTTTCTGATCCATTTTATTGTCAAATTTACTTCCCATTAAGAAACTGATGTCATCCCATGAAGTTTAAATCCAGCCATTCATAGATGATGGGTAGCATATGGCTTGTACACCAACACCAAGAAAGTCTCTAGTTTGCCCTCCTGCAGGACTGTCTTGATCACTTTGAAATATTTTCTGCCTTTTAGGGTACATTTGAAGCTGATTCAAAGAGGAGATCTGATCACTTCCCGAGTTCTCCACGTCACTTGCTGGATTAGTGCTTACAGGGCTTGAACCATATAGTCCACAGAACTTGTTCCCATCTTGAACTTTATTAGCGTTGCTCTTCAGCGCAAAACTTCCAAGGAATGATGGATCAGTTGAAGTTGCACCGATCTGAGCAGCTTTTTGCAGCAAAGCAGTGGCTGACATGTTGGCCGAAGTTGTTTGATGGGACTGCTGTTGTTGGGTGCTATACAATGAAGGAACACTTGCTAGCTGACTTGCAGCAGCTGCTTCCTTAACGTTGGTTAGAGGAAGTACTAAAGTGCTTGTCAGCTCCTCGTGAGCATTATTTGAAGAGATCTTATTTCCAAAAACTGGCCAATTTAACTGATAATGATCAGATGGTGGAGCATGTGAGCATGAAACAGCAAGAAGGTCACCAAACATAGCTCCTGAACTAGTCACAGAGCGAAGTTGATGAATCTCTTGAATGTTATTTCCCATTGCTTCACTCACTTGGGGTACACCTTGGTTCATCCACAAGGAAACTCCTCCCTGTCTTGTTTGGTGATCATTGCTTGAAATTGGCTTGAAAATTGTAGAGAAATGTTGTGCCATGGTAGGCCCTAATGGATTCCCCATCAGATGATAATTGATGCTCCCAGCAGCCAAGTTGTTTATGCTAGATACTGCATTTACTCTTGCTGTTTCCTCTGCTAAGGCATCACAGAAGGCCCTGTGAGTGATGAAGCTATCTCTCCTGCTAACAAAGGCAATAATGGAGCTCAAAAGGTGAAGTACTCTTGCTTTGCTCCCACTACTATTAGCCCTCCCTTGCTTTTTCTCAAAAAATAAAGGCCATCATGTTAAAGGAATCACTTTTAGGGTTCAACAGAATATGCATGGATCTCCTTCCTTCAACAACTACTCTTCAATAGTTTTCTAAGCATAACCTTTTAGCCCTCCATCAAGCACTCATGAATGCCACCTTTTCCTTCCTGCAAAGTTTCCCATTACTAAAATCTCAAATACTTCTCTTTTCTGATCCATTTTATTGTCAAATTTACTTCCCATTAAGAAACTGATGTCATCCCATGAAGTTTAAATCCAGCCATTCATAGATGATGGGTAGCATATGGCTTGTACACCAACACCAAGAAAGTCTCTAGTTTGCCCTCCTGCAGGACTGTCTTGATCACTTTGAAATATTTTCTGCCTTTTAGGGTACATTTGAAGCTGATTCAAAGAGGAGATCTGATCACTTCCCGAGTTCTCCACGTCACTTGCTGGATTAGTGCTTACAGGGCTTGAACCATATAGTCCACAGAACTTGTTCCCATCTTGAACTTTATTAGCATTGCTCTTCAGCGCAAAACTTCCAAGGAATGATGGATCAGTTGAAGTTGCACCGATCTGAGCAGCTTTTTGCAGCAAAGCAGTGGCTGACATGTTGGCCGAAGTTGTTTGATGGGACTGCTGTTGTTGGGTGCTATACAATGAAGGAACACTTGCTAGCTGACTTGCAGCAGCTGCTTCCTTAACGTTGGTTAGAGGAAGTACTAAAGTGCTTGTCAGCTCCTCGTGAGCATTATTTGAAGAGATCTTATTTCCAAAAACTGGCCAATTTAACTGATAATGATCAGATGGTGGAGCATGTGAGCATGAAACAGCAAGAAGGTCACCAAACATAGCTCCTGAACTAGTCACAGAGCGAAGTTGATGAATCTCTTGAATGTTATTTCCCATTGCTTCACTCACTTGGGGTACACCTTGGTTCATCCACAAGGAAACTCCTCCCTGTCTTGTTTGGTGATCATTGCTTGAAATTGGCTTGAAAATTGTAGAGAAATGTTGTGCCATGGTAGGCCCTAATGGATTCCCCATCAGATGATAATTGATGCTCCCAGCAGCCAAGTTGTTTATGCTAGATACTGCATTTACTCTTGCTGTTTCCTCTGCTAAGGCATCACAGAAGGCCCTGTGAGTGATGAAGCTATCTCTCCTGCTCAAGAAAAGATTTTGAGCATAAAGTTAAATATGATGAAACCATAAAAAAAATCTCTTAGTATTGCATAGCTAGTCATAGCATTAGTAATAAAGGGCTAATTAATTAGGACATCAAATTGATATGGTCTTCCCAACCTCTCTCTTCGTCTTCACCATATATATCTCCATCCTCTCTTTATTTTTCAGTTCTGAGAGATAGAAAGTGAAGGGGGCCGGTGCACAGCCAAAAATAACATGACCACAAAAAATCATTTTCATGCTCCACATCGTTTCTATTTCGACATGGTTAGTGTTGTTGACAAGAGAAAAGGCGATGCTCTATCACCACTTGAATCACTTTCATGCTTTATTAACTAGTCCTCCTTGGCCATTTTATTCTTGAAACCCTTGCTTAATTACTACTACAAATGTATAGTATTTGAGTACCACCATCACTATAAATTCAAATAAAAAATCTTTGCAAAAAATTATACCTTGAAAATAGAGTCCCACAGTCACATTTGTACTCCCTAGTGCCACAAGTCTTTGAGTGCGCTTTCCAATCTGATTGCACAGCGTATCTTTTTGAACATTTTTCACACTTCCACTTCTTCTCTCCATGCTTCCTACAAAAGTGCTTCTTTATACCTGTTAAGTCTCCAAGAGCCCTAGAAGGATGATGATGGACACAGGTCTTTTCAGGGCAGACATAAACACGCTTTTTTACTTCTTTGTTGGTCCTTTGCTTGAGCTTCCATGGAAGGTTGTGTCCTCTCCTATGGAGTTGTAGGTTTTGATCTCTTTGAAACCCTTTACCACATATTTCACACAAGAATCTGTTGGTGGCCATGAGAGTTTTTGGTGATAAAGCTATGACTTCTGCTTCAGGATCTGCATAGGAGAATCAATATTCTCATTTGAATATTAAGGCAATAAAGCTTGATAGACATGAATAACTTTGAATATACTGACGATCATATATGATCATAAAGACAGAAAGGGAAAGGCGGACAGAAAGAATAATAACAACATAAACACAAACACAAACTCAAAAAGAAGAAAAATAAATAAACAAGCGGGCTAGTTTGCCTGGAGTTCCTGGGAGGTTTCTCTTCTTCTTTAGAGCAGGAGGATTGGATCCACCAACAGGGTTTTCAACAAAACCATTGTTGCTACTTGTTATTGCTTCTTCTGTTGCCATGATCTTCTTTAACATATCACTCGAGTTTACTCAACGTAGCTAGTTATACAAAACAAAAGGGTCATCAAAGAGAGCTATTACAATTGTGGTTAAGGTAAAAACCAAGAGAAAAGGTTTTGTCTTGTGTTGTCTCAACCCTAACAATATAAGGAAGATATATGCAAGACTTGATCTCTCTCTCCCCACCTCTCCCCTTCTCTCTCTATCTCTACTATGCTGCGGACATTTGAATTAGCACTTGCTTTTCAGCTAAGGCTCGGATAGAATAATAATAAAAATGTTCTTGGGAGGTGGTGAAAAAGTTAAAGTTGAGATAGAGGAAGGGAGAGAGGATATTGCTTGAAAGAGTGAATGGCAAAAACACACAAAGGTGCATGATGACACATATGATGAGCATGGGAGAATGCTAATCTCCCATGCCTTTTCAATTAGGAATGATTATCACATAATTTGCTTGCTTTTTGTTTCTCTTATTTTTCTAATCTTTCTCTTTAAATATTGTGCATTGATAAATTAATTGGAGTTAATTAATTATTTCCTAGAACCCAACAAACATTTTTTGAAAGCCTAGGTTATCCTATATAGCCAAGATATGCTCAAAAGCAAGTAGATTGGACTGTTTTCTTTGGTTTTTAGCTACTACATAGCCATAATGGAAGGCTCAATTAACCATGCAAACCCATATCAAACATCAACCCACATCATGAGGTCAGGAATGCCCCATTTTTGCAATATGATCCCTACAGACATTTAAACTTAATTGAGGATAGCCTCTTTAAGGCCATTTCTCTAAGTAATAATGCATATGTCTAACTCATTGCAATATGTGCACTATACATGACAATTACAGCATGTAAAGACTAATTGGGAGCACCACCGGCCTCAAAATATAAAGTAAGAGTTTGTTAACGTAATATTAATTGTTTTTTAAAATATTTTTTATTTAAAAATGTATTGAAGTGATTTTTTTATTTTTTTAAATTTATTTTTGATACCAGTACATCAGAATAATATAAAAATAAAAAAATAAAATTTAATTTGTTTAAAAAACATTTTTTTAAAACAAAAACAACAACGGAAACATTGTTAATAATCAAAATTCCTTGTCCAACATAAGAAATTCTCACTATGATTTGAAACAACTAATACCTGGTGATCATACAAAAGCAATGCTATGGACTATATATGTTTGTTTTTTTCAAAAAGATGAATTAACATGACCTAGAGCGCTAGGCTTGAGAGTGACGACTAGCACACCCAACCAGTCACATTCTTTTCTTTATGCATCCTCATTTTCAACAAAAGTAAAATCTTTTTCAGTTCCTGGCTACTAGTCAAAATTCCCGTTTTCTTTCAAAACAAGTTATATTCGCCTCGACATCCACATTTCGAGCATAAGAAAACTAAGTTATCAAATTTGATCCAGTTCATTATCCCGTTTAAGATTGAAGTAACGGATGATGCACATGGATTCGATGAATTGAAACAATATTATTTTAATAAAAAATAAAAATATATATAATTTAAAAAAAAAATAAAAAAATCAAGTTAAATTTTGAATAGATAAATATATTTATTCATATTAAATTTTTTAATAAAAATCAAACTAGTCAAGTTTTAGATTGACCAGTCACATCGGGCTGGATTTTATAACAAATAATTATTTCTTGTAATTATTTAAAAGTTTCAAATCTACGTTGGTAATATTTTGTTTGTGTTACAAAAACTGCCATGCATGTGTCCAACTATGAAGGGAGGTAAAATCCAAAGGAGACGATGAAAGGAACACATAAAAGGGAAAAATCGTCCTTTGGCATCTCCCTCAGCTCAAAATTGACTAGATTTGTTACGTACCCACTTGACCATTTTTTTTTTTTAATTTTGATTCATGTAGAGGGTGCTTGTTGGGGAATTAATGATATACATGAATATTTATGAATTGAAAAATAAAATATTATTTAAATAAATTGATTAATGTAGAAGTTAGGTTGGTAGTCTGATCTTGAATGGTAGATGCATGATCAGCTTTACACTTTTATGCTTCAAAGCCTTTTACGTTTGCTTTTCCTTTGTGGATTGTAAAGATGCTTGCTTCATGTGTTAAAAGCACAATGGCTATGGATCATGATCAAGGAGCATGAATAGTCAATTGAATAAGAAAACTTTTCTGGTTTCTATTTTTTTTCTTTTTCATTTTTATTGGTGGCAGTATTTTTAATACTAGTTTTCGTATATTATACTAGAGACCAATACCAATAAGAAGATCTTTACGACATCCTAAACCGTATAAAAAAATATCATTTTCTAGCAAAAACATAGGGCAGAAAACATATATTTTTGACTCAATATTTTTATTATTTATACTAGACTTAGCATATTAAATCTAATATAAAAGGTAGAGTATTTTTTTTATCGATTTTATACATTGAATCTAAGTTCTTCATTGATCAATCTAAGTAAAATACATATGAGATTTTTTTTTAAATAAATTGTTACAAATTTAAAAATGATGACTTTAAAGGTAAAAAATTTCGAGAATCTTGAATTTTATGTACATTTTGTGTTGTTGTTGCATGAGTTAAATTGATATAAACTTTGAACACCATTTAATTAGTTGGAAGGCGTACGGTGCACACATGTGGATAGTAAAAATTGCTTCAGATCTACACGAAATCAATAGAAAAATTCAGGATGGAATATCTTAGAGATGCCCTAGCTAATGGTGATCTAGCACTCTCTCTTAATCTCTCTCTTAATTAATTATGCTATGATAATAGTTTAATGAATCAAAGTATAGCTAGGGAAGAGGTTAAACGACAGCCAGCTGACAAAGGCAGTGAATTTTTAGAATTGTGAGCTAGCTAGCGGTCGTCTCCTTGTGGGCTGACTTCTCCTGCTAACCCCTTAATCATACTCTAATCATGTTCTTGCTTTCTGACTTTGTTTAGTATATAATCTTTGGAATTTAGCTGTTGAACTGTGGCGGCCTCAGAATATTCTCTCCTTCTCCAACACTCCCAAAGGCTTCAACTTTCAAGGTCTCGTGAGAGAGATTCTTAATTATACAAACCCCACATCGATCCCTCTACAAGTTAGTTTTACTACTAAAAATAATGCAGCTGTAGTGTTGAAAAGAGAAGCTTTCTAGGTTATAAACCATAGGCAATATTGTTTCAAAATAGAAGGCCTCAGGGAAAAGCATCATGCTGTCACCAAGGGTACGTTTTCTTTCGTTGTTTGTCTCTTATAGTTTGAAATGTAGCTAGCATATATACACAAGTTATTTTGCACACATTTTTTAAGCCCGACATAGTATCGATCCAGAGTCTCGAGTCTCGATTAAGGTGAATTGATTAACTTCATATCGATTTTATAAAAAAACAAAAATAATATCATTTAATTTTTTAAAAAAAATTAAAAAATATATCAACAAATTTTAAAAGATTTTTTTTTTTTAGATAACTGAATTATAAGCCAACCTGAATTTTCAATTGAGTCATTTTTTATTTATTTTTATTGAAATTCTGCTCGATCTAGACCTTATATTACAAGGGTTGGGTCGGGTTTTAAATACAATAAATTTACATATGATTTTTTTTGGCATTTCAAGATACCTCTCTTCCCCAAGTTTTGCTAACTAAAAAACGAGTATTTGTTCGTGGTTAGCTAATTCCAACTCAAGGGAAAGGGGATTCTTCCCAAAACCTATATGGATCATGTGATTTGAACATTCCCCTTCCAATGCGACAATAATGATCAAATAAAATTATTGTTTATCTTATAAAAAAAATAAAAATAATACCAGTTAAAAATTTTAAAAAAAATTATCATTATAACCGAGTTTTTCTTGAGATGACTAAATTAAAAGCCAACCTAAATTTTCAATCTAGTAATCTTTTATTTATTTTTATTGAAATTCAGCTCGATCTAGACCTTATATTACAAGGGTTGGGTCCGGTTTTAAATATAATGAATTTACATATGATTTTATTTGGCATTTGAAGATACCTCTCTTCCCCAAGTTTTTCTAACTACAAAACGAGTATTTATTTGTGGTTAGCTAATTCCAACTCAAGGGAAAGGGGATTCTCCCCAAAACCTATATGGATCATGTGATTTGAACATTCCCCTTCCAATGCGGCAATATTGATGTAATAAAATTATTGTCGAGATAATGTGAATAGTCAATGCAATTAAGATTTGATTTAAGAAAATATATATTTAGTTTTCAAGTGAGAAATTGGTTGAGGATTTTCTAACTTGTCAAAAGAGAAATATGTAAATCCAAAACAAAACAAAAAATTCTATATATATATGGTATGAAAAGACAAAGATTTAAACATGAAATAAATTTGTCTATATATTCTTTCAAAAAAATAAATAAAATATAGAAAAAAATGTTATTTTTATTCTTACTATCTTCATCTTTTCAATAGCAAAACAGGTAACTAAACCCTAATTAAAATTATCTTAACTAGATAAGTACTCTTGTTTTGCTTTTGAACAAAATATCCAAAAGAAGAGCTGATTTGGATCTAGGAATCCTATACAGAAATCCACATGCTTCGGTTTGTAAAAAGCTGGAGAATATATCTTTCTTTATTTTTTTCCCCTTTTCCCCTTTTTTATTTTTCATTACCTGTGAAAGACATGTAACAATAGCAGAAGGCTCGTTACATTCAATGCTGCCAAACTTTATAAATATAAAATATTAGATAGCGATTTGGTTATTTTCTCAAGATAAATATAAAATATTAGATAGCGATTTGGTTGTTTTCTCAAGATAAAAAAAAAATAATGAATTTTTGTATTTTTAAAATAAAAAATACATGAAAATACATTCTTTTTATTTTCATTGTCGCCATCATGATTTCTATTACAAAACACGGTAATCAAACGCTTAATGATATGAATATTCTTTTGATTGTTCTTTTTGTAATTTATAATTTGATGCATGATTGTGTTAGAAAGCTTTCTACCTAGCTAGAAGCATGATGGTATAATAAGTTTTGTTCCGATTCGATTTTATATTTCTTAGATCAATTTCTTCTAAAATTAGCAACCTCAGATATAATTTAGGTTGTGTTTATTTTTTAAAAAATTATTTTTTAAATTTTTAGTTGTTTGTTTGTTATTAAAAAAGTTGGTTAATGAAAAATACTTTTCAGTAAAAAAAAATTTAACTTCATTTCGTTTTTTAAAAAATTATTTTTTAAATTTTTAGTTGTTTGTTTGTTATTAAAAAAGTTGGTTAATGAAAAACACTTTTCAGTCAAAGAAAAATTTAACTTCATTTCTAGGAAAGTGTTTTCCTGAAAAATTTAAGTGAAAAATATTTTCTAAAAATTGTGAAAAATTTAAAAATATTATATTATTTGTTGATTGTATCAAATTTGGTCCTCAAACTTTGATTGCTATATATATTTTGTTTTGAATATTTATTTTGTAATTTCCATATGTTAAAATTTAATTTTTATATTAACTTTGGTACTTATTTTTATAATTATTATTTGCTTTCTTTCTTATCATTTTTTTATTGAAATTTTTTATCTATCAAATTTGATCTTTATTCTTTTGATTGTTACTTATTTTATTTGAAATAATTTATGAAATGTTAATTATTATTATTTTAATTTCTTTATCTTTTTTTTTATATATTTGATTTCTATTATTTTGATTATTATTTATTTTATTTGAGATAATTTATGAAATTATATATTTTTTCAATTTCATTCTCATTCAAATTTTTAATTTGTAAGATTTGTTCCTTATTATTTTAATAAACTTGAGAAAAATAAAACATTAATAAGTTATTTTTCAGCTCATTTTTCATAATATAACCAAACACTAGAAAGTATTTTTGAATTTATTTTTTATTACACTACTTAATATTAAAAAATAATTCATTTTTCTGAAATTTAATTTTTCAAAAAAATTACTTTCCACCGAACCATTACACTACTTAATATTAAAAAATAATTCACTTTTCTAAAATTTATTTTTTCAAAAAAATTACTTTCCACCAAACAAACAAAATTTAATAATTATACAAAGTATGGCCATGGCATTAAACACGAATTTCAATCATGGAGAACCTCCAAGTTTTTATGTAAATTCTCTATCCATGGCCGGCAGTAGTGTGATTAAATCTAGCATAATAAGTAATTCTTCAACACGGTCGGTTTGGGTGAAGAAAAAAATTAATTTAGAGTCGATACAACTCATTACTTAGTAAAAACATATTTTTACACAACTCATTACTTAGTAAAAACATATTTTACTTTAAAAAATTAAAATAATATTAATTTAATTTTTTTAAATAAAATTAAAAATTAACTCGGTTCAATCTATCCATTATATAATTATGATCTTGTTTAATAACTTTTTTGAGCGGGAGTTCCTGGCTTGGCCTTTCCCTGTTCCTCCATTTCTACCCAATTTAATTTTGGTCTGGCAAGAATGTGATTAGCTGGGGGAGAATTTGAGCAATCTCAACATTAAACTTCTTTTCATGAATCATGAACGCAATTGGCTAATTAAATGCCTAGGATGTCTATGATTTGAAAAAAGGTGGCAAGACACAGTCATTCCACCTGGAGGGCTAGTTGTTTAGCAAAAAGAAAAGGCAGCACAGTTTCGTCTTCTAATGTTTTTAGTGACCAGAGAATATATATAAGATATCGAAAGGAGGAGACAAATTAAGAGCTTCTCGTACGTGCATTCAGCCTCCACATACGAAGAGGTGATGCTCATCAGAAGGGACTAAACAAAGCACCATGCTAGCCAATTTTTGACCCAGCAGAGGATAATTATGGATTGATATTCTTGTTCTGCCTATTTATATATATTATATTGACCAAGTCATTAGCATTTCCCTTTGCTTGCTAGGGCAACTCTCGAAAAGAAATTGAATGAGACCACCACTATAAGCTCAATCAAACAAATGATAATGTACTCTTTAATCCAATACCATAATATATATAAGAAGATTAAAGATTCTCTTTTTAGGGTTGGAAAGCAAAGTTAAAGCACCCCACTTTCTTTCTCTATATACACAATGGATGGGCCCTCTCTTTTCTTACAAAGAAAACCAAGAAACCTATTCATGTTTCACCTTTTGTGCTTTTTTTTTTAATCGAGATATTTTCATATTGATTTTCATATATTAATGCTTAATGCATCCAATGTCATAAAACTTGAGCTCAACTTTAGCTGTCTTCCGGGTTGGATTGTTAAAAATATGAATATATGAATTTGTCAAAAACTTTTCCATCTAATAATTTAAGTTATTATATTATATAATTTATATTATTATATAACATATATTTTTAAATAAAAATTCTTTGAACCTAAAACTTGTTTATGTTTATACTATTTTGTATTTAATTTTTATCAAATAAATAAAAACAATAAAATTTAAACTCGTGACTGTTTGATTATCAAGAATTCTAGTACCTATATAAAAAAATATCTCAACTCAATAACTAAAACTTTTAGATAATATTCTAAGATATAATTTATATTATTTTCTAATATAATTAATCTCGATATTGATCTAATCAAGCTTCAGTTTAATTTTATTAATTTTTTTTCTCAATATAATATCTCTTTAACCCTTTTTTTTTAAATACTAAAACAATATTATTTAGAATTGATACATGTTAACCTAAAATTAACTTGCCACACTCTTCACTAATTGAATCAAATTTAATACCTTAATACCTTATTTTCTCTTTTTGGTTTTCAAGTAAATCATACATCATACTTTTTAGTGCAAAGATGCATTCACCATAATCTCTTCTAAGATTTAAACTCGAGAGATGATAAGTTTTGAGAAACAAGTCCACTTACTACATAGCTAAGTCGTCTTCAAATATTTTAATCATACAAATTTTTATTTGTATGTGAGCTAGCGTGTGAGAGAGATGGGGAGTCCATATAATGCCTAAATTAAGAAGTCCATATAATGCCCAAACATGCATGTAATTAAGTATTCAAATGGAAAAACATATCAAGAATTATGAATTCAGGAGAAACAAGGTCACCATCAGATTTATGACAAGCACTAAACTCCCACTGAAAAAAAGATACTCTGAATGCAATGTGATAACAATTTGGTTGGTGAGTATATATCCATCGTTAATCATTGATATATAATTGGCAAATAGATATTACACAGAGATGAAAGAAAAGACAAGAACTCGTTCAAATCCATCTTCTCTAAAGGAATTCAAACATGGATGTTTCAAAAGAAAGGCATGCAGCAGGGCCGTGTATCTTCCACTCGGTTTGTCACAAGAATGTTATTCAAAGGAGAAAAGCAAGCAATGACGAGATAAAATTCGATCAAAAAGTGATCTTTGTTATCTTCAATAGTGCCCAAATTGATGGTGGTCTCCATTGGTCAACACCTCTCTGTTGGATTTCTCCTGTTTTAACTGATAAATTTCGTATGAAAATCAGTGTTTTCTTCCTGAAAAACGACTACATGGATTCATAATATAGCTCGAGATTAATTCTTGAATGATTAAGGGTTAGAATGAACGTAATTAAATCAAAAGAAAAAATAAATTCATGCCATGTTTATTTGTAGTTCAATCGTGAGATCACAAGAGGGATTTTTCTTAATTAGAAGCCTGTCAAATTTTGAACCAAAATAGAGGTAGCCCTCCTCCTTTAAATAAAGGATGGATCCACAAGAGTCTTTTTTTTTCTTAGTGGATCAAGGTATAAGGATTCTGATGAATAAAGTTGGATATATAAAATAAATTTATTTATTAAATCCTTTAGACCTTTTTCACAAGAAATAAATTTAATTAATTAATTAATTAATTAATATGCAGTAACCAATTCATCCAAGTTTCCTCAGGAATTCAATATTGGCCGCCTTATAAACCAAGAAATGGCAAAAAGCTAACTAAGAATAATATTTGCATGCCTTTGCCAATTGCCATGCACAGCCTGTTGTGTCGTCCACCATCATTTCTATGGATATCCCACTACCGTTTTCTTTTCCTGTCTCTCTGTACGATTGCTTTGAATACTATGTTCATTTCTCCCTTTCAAGCACTGCTACTAAACATAGACTCACTATTCAGCATATAGTGACTTGCTAGTTCGTGATCGAGTTTTAAATTAAATTTGATAAGATTAAATTTCATCAATCTAATCAACCTATAACTTAATTAAAACTGGTTTAATTTATTAAAAAGCCAAATAAAATTGACTGAATTATAATCAAGATATAATAACTTTGCTTCCAAAAACTCATTCTTCATGAGCAAACAAAGAAAAGATAAAATTAGCACTCTCTTCGTATCATCCTCTGCCAATATATTCCATTCCTGGCCTGATTTTATCTAGAAGTGAAATCAACAAAATCTACCAAAAATCAAACTTGAGCAAACTTTAGGAGTTAAGTAATTTCAATATTCCTGATGGCCCATTTTAATAACATATTTTTTTTATGATATCAATGTTATTTCTAGTTACAAATACACCATCCAAATATAAATGTCTAAAATATTATAATAATAATTAAAATAGTCATGTGAAAGCATTGACTCAGAAATACTCTAATGGTAAAATAAAAGAATTAAAATCTGTGAATAAATAAATGAATAGATGTTATGAACCAAATTGAATCCTTGACGAAGAAATGAAAGCTATACAACTTTTAGGAATTCTTCTACAATCATCATAGGATATTCAATATTGGTCACAAGAGTTTTATGCCCCGTTTGTTTTTGTGGTGGCAAAGCACTTTTGTAAAAAAATATTTTTTTTTAATTTTTTAAGGTTATTTTGATATATTAATATGAAAAATAAATTTTAAAAATAAAAAATTATTTTAATTTATTTTTAAATTAAAAAAATTTAAAAAATAATTTACTATAATGTTAAAAGAGCTTTTAATCTGTTGTGAATTTGAAGGGCACAGGCTATGAGTCCTGATATTTTTGGACCAATGGGTTCTTTTTAGCCTCAATTTTATGTGAGCCCTAGCCCCTAATCCTATGTGTCTTATTATGTATCATGGGCTTAAGCCTCGATTGTGGACGACATGTCGGTTACACAGAGACTTTCATGAAAGGGAGTTTCTAGTTTCTACTTTCCGGTTGCTAGAGTCAATAGAAGGAGCAAAATCTCCAAATTCTTGTCAGCGAGTAGTGAAAATGGACACAAAAGCATTAGCAAAATCAAAGAGAGCACACACATTACAGCACAACAAGGGCAAAAAACCACACCCAAATCAAAAACCCAGCAAAACCCCATCAACTGGAAACAATCAAAAACCACAAAAATCTAAGCTTCCATCCAACTGGGATCGGTATGGAGATGATGAGGAAGATGAATTTGGAGTGAATCTTGAAAACCCATCTGGGGATAACAGTAAAAAACCAAGCTTTAAGGATTATGGTGATGGTCTTGCTTTGCCAAAGAGTAAAGGTGCTGACTTTAGATACCTTCTTGATGAAGCTAAATCAAAACCTCACCAAGTTGACGACTTTCCTTTTCTCGAGCACTTCTTGGCTGGTATGTTTTAGTTTTTCATTTTCTTTTATGGTTTGCCAGCTTTTTGCTTTTATTTATGTATGATTTGGTGGATTGTGGTTGTCATATTGTGATGAACTTAAATTTTTCTTTCTTTTCTTCATTGAATGTGTGCCTAAGCTTTTGAAAGTTAAGAACTTGAATGAAGAGGAGGAGTGTTCAGCAATTTGTAGTTGATATTGCGTTTTGAATTGATTTGCAATGAAATGCGGATGGATTTTTGTATGTAATCGAAGTTTAACTTTTTAATGTTTTGGTTGATCAGTTTCAAAATTATAGGTTCTTCTTGATCAGTAACTGGACAAAGTTTCAAAGTTGTGTGTGGTGGGGATTTCACTGGTTAATTGGCGTTGTGATTTGCTTTGCTTTGGTTGTGATTTGTGTGTACTTTAAAAGATGTTTTCAGGGGGGCATCTAAAGTCTTATCTCTTGTTTATTTGTTGCGAACATATCCCATTTCGATTTGTTTCCATGGCATGTAGTTTGCGCTTTGCAAGAACTCTGTAAAGTTCAGAAATTATTTATGCCCTTGTCAGAATTGTTTCCAGTTCCTGACATAGCTAATATTTTGCTTTGTGCGCAATCCAGTTTTTACTCATTGTCTACCGTTATTATTGACAAATAAATCTGACATTAGTGTTGACATTGTTACTGATCCTTCTGGTGACTAATTTAGACAGCTGGCTTTTGTGCAGAAGAAATGACTGTGAATCCAGGCACTCTGTTTTTTATATTGTTTTCATTTTGAACGTTGGTAAATTATTGACTAGAAATGCTTGGTGACAGAGGAATCTATGCATGGAGTAGGTCCCTTGCTTGCAGTCAGGGGAGAAAGCATTCTATCATGGATTGGGGATGATAATTTTGTTGTGGAAGATGAAACAACTTCAAGTCATGAGGTAATTGATCTATTCATTAGATATTGGGATAATTACAAAAACCTCCTATAGTTTGATCTAAATTTCACTTTCCCTTTATACTTTTATAAATTACATTTTACATTCTGGATCAAACAAAATGCATTGTTGAGGATGTAAACTATTATTGAACATATAAACTAAATGATGGAAAGTGTATTTATAAAAGTATGGAGGGAAAGTGAAATTCAGATCAAACTATTGGAGGGTTTTGTAATTATCCCTTAAATATTATCTCTTGTTTAGGAATATAGGAATTCAATCGCAAGTGCGTTGACTTATCTAATAATTTGGTATTTGAAGTGAGCAGCTTGTTGATATGCTGGAAATTGTTGAGAGTGATTCATCATCCTCTCTTTTTTGCTTTTCTTTTTTTCATTTTCTGCCCAGAATGTACCCATACCCTAGTTCATGCCAGCAAAACTATAGAGTACCATTAAGCTATGTGATAACTTTGAGATTGTCTTTTGTGGTGACAAAAGTAACTTAGCTTGAGTTGGGTTCCCCTATTTCTCCATGAGCAAACCAATCCAACCTTTTTTTCCCTTTTGATCATCTTAAATTTTCAATAATAGATGTTCATGGAGTTAATTTTCTTGTAAAATTAGAATTCACTTTCTGCCATTGAGTTGGGCTAAAAGTTACTGATTTGGTTTGTCGCACCCGACATCGCGGCGGCCTTAAAAATAGCAGATATCTCATATCTTGTTCTTTTAAGGAAAAAGGTCTTTGTTTAAGGAGTCGCCACTTAGTATTATGGTTACTAGAAACCCTAACTGGTCAACAGAAATTCTATGGTCCGGAGGTCAACAGAGATTCTATGGTCCGAGACTGATTACGTAAAAGGGAAGATATTATCACCCCTTAAACGTCCTGCCTAAGGCAGACTGCATTGCTGATCTTTGTCATTAATTGCTAACATTTTTTTTGTTTATACTATGATTGTTTGTGTGTAATATTCCTGACTCTAGCGCTAGTGAATATTCAACTACCGATATTTCTAACTCTGGCGTTGGTAAATATTACGTAGGTATCAAAATAAATAAATTCAAATCATCCTTTTATTCTTTTATTCCTGACTCTGGCGTCAGTGAATAAATAAATAAAAGTAAATTTTTTTTACGCGTGCACATATTTATTTTATTTTTCTAGCTAAATAAAATAAAATACAACGAATAAAAATAATATAAATTTAAATTGGTATTTCTATTCCTGACTTTGGCGTCAGTGAATAAACCAATAAATTTATATTATTTTTATTCATGCATACATATTTTTTTATTTTCATATTTTTTATTTTTATTTTTATTTGGGTTGGGCCCAGCTCAACCCATAGAGCTGGGCTGGACCCAACAGGCCTAGCAGGGTCACAAGCTTGACCCGGCTGACCATTGTTTTTTAATCTTTATCAGCAGGCGTGCGTGAATTGCTCACGTACATCTGCTACAGGAAGCATGTAATTAAAATACAAGGAGGGAAAGATCAACTTACCTGGTGCTGCAATTGAAGATGATAATGATAGTGGAGGGTCGGCCTGCTGATGCTATTTTCTTTTCCTTTGTTTTCCTCTTGGTGTTCCTCTAGTCCTCCTTCAAGGATTATCTTGAAAAAGGTAAGGATTATCTTAAAGATAAGGCTATAATGAAAAAGGCACATTGTAGTCCTTAATTTTCATGAAAGTTGACAAATCACACTTTGTATCGAAATAAATCTCTGATCTTTTAATTTTTCATTTTAAACCCTGTAAAAATTAAATTCAAAGCCAAAGAGCCAAAATTGGGTTATGACATGGTTCATGAAATAATTTGTGTGGTAGTACAAGGGCAGGAATGTTATGTTGGGGAACTTCATGTAGGGCTCTCTTCTTGTGTTTTCTTCAGTTTCTTTTCCTTTACATGCAAGTCAGACAAATTATTTTTGGCTGCCTAAGCTGTTTTGGAACTTGACAAAGAAGGAAAGCCAGCTTATCTTGATCCTGGTTCCTTTTTATTTACTTATTTATTTATTTTGAGAATTTGATACCGGTTCTTGTTTGCTTCTTAGCTAATTAAATCACCAAAATATCATGTTTAGAGAAAATGTCAACATCTAAAACATATGCTCGTCCCTAGGTTGCATTGGGATGCATGAGTGATAATGTTATATTGACACTTAATGTATTTGTGAAGTTCATTGTGTTTCTTGGAAAATAAAATTTATAAGTGCTTTGGTATTGGTATGGTTTATGTCCACGCTTCCTTCTCTAATATGGAGAGAGAGTAAGGAACTCAATGCTTGTCCACAGGAGATTGTGAAAATAATTGAGTTCGGTCCTTTCCTAGAACATTTGTAAAAAGGTGTTCCCCTTGTCTGAAATGCCATTTAATGTTCGCAATTTTATCAATTCCAGCTGGCTAACATTTGAAGAGAAGCAGAAGTACCCATAGGTTGAAATAAAGTGGCGTTATTGTATATGATAAGTAGAAGTGCTATGCATCATCTTCATGCTAATGCCATTATTCCTGTCACTATCTTATGGGAATGTTACTTGCCTTTGGTTCTCGTTCATATTGGATGTCTTAGCTTATCAAATGCTCGCTCCCTCTTAGTTTTCTTTATCCATTTTTTTATTAGGCATCATTTCTCTCCCTGAATTTGCATGCTCTTGCGGAACAACTAGCTAAAGTGGACGTATCAGAGAGGCTCTTCATTGAAGCAGATCTATTACCAACAGAATTGGTATGATTCACATTCTCATTTGACCTTTGAATGGATGTGGCTTATCAATACTTTTGGCATCAAGAAAAGTTTGCCCAGTTATGCAAGGTGTTACAGAGCTGGGGGTATTTCAGTAACATTATATTGTTTCAAGGAAAATATTTTTTTTCCAGAGTTGTACTTTATAAAATGTGCAAAATGTTTGGTGATTCTAAAAGATATCTAGAAGATTATCTTAGTGATTGCTTGCTAGTAATATTTAGATCAAGAACTGGCTGCTTAAAAATATTCTTCAGTAAGATTTGTCCTCGTTTTACAAGGCACTTCTGCAAATGGTTGATCACTCTTGGTTCTTGTTTTGATTACATTATTTTCAATAGCTCCTCTCTGCACGGTAATTGGTGGGGGCATTTCTTGTTTCCAAAGTTGTCACTGCATGTTGCATAGTAACAAAATAAGGTTAGGATGAAAATTGCATGTCTATTTTCGAGAATTCAATTTCTTATATTGCGTGTAACATGGTTTATTTGACAATCTGGCCAGGGATCAAATACAAGCAGCAGCCAGGAATTTGACCAAATGCAAACAACAGGATCAGAGGCAGGCGGCAATCATGGGCCTAACAGAAAACAAACAACTCATGATAAAGAAACCAAGACAATCTCTGGAGAATTGACGTTTGAAGATCTTTCTGAGAAGAATAAGGCTGTTAATCAAGATGCCGAGATTTTTGTATCAGGGTTGACCATAGGCAACTCAGACCCAATTTCATTTATTCAGGGATTAGATGTTAAGGATAATTTGAATTTAAATCAGCATGGTAAATTCAATCAAAGCGCAGCTATGGAATCCCCAGCACAGTTATATGCGTGTTCTGTTGCCCCTAGCAGTAGGCTGCCCGCGTTCGAAGCAGCAGCTGCCGAGTCTGAATTGGATATGCTTCTTGACTCACTTAGCGAGACCAAGCTACTTGATTCTTCTGGATTTGGGTCAGGTACTTTACCTGTTTCAGAGAAAGAGGCTGCTGTACCTCTGCCACAACTTACAAGAAATGCCCCTGGTTCAGCAAAAACCACACCCACTGCTGCCACCCTGGACAACGTGCTTGATGATTTACTTGAGGAATCATCTGATTTACAAGAGGCTGCTGCACCATTGCCACTACTTGCAAGAAATGCCCACGGTTCGTTGAAAACAACCTCTACTGCTGCCACTCTAGATGACGTGCTTGATGATTTATTTGAGGAAACATCTAGCTTGCCAAACCAAAACAATTTGTATCAGCCTTCAGAAAGAAAGGCTGATCATGTAATTCAATCTTCTTCGTCGCAGTCTGTCAACAAGTCAAAAGTTTTGGATGATTTTGACTCATGGTTAGATACAATTTAACGCTTGTAATTTACCAAAACCTCACCCATGTATCCATACTTGTTGTGTTTAATGCCATATACAGGGATGCATGCTTTCAAACTGCTATATGGATTGTGTTTTACATTTTTATGTGAGAATATTTAGGCATTTGCCTATTTCACATATGCTGCCAGGGTTTTTAACAACAACTCTGCCCTGCATCTTCCCTTGATACCTCAGATAATCAATGACGTGTTTCTCACCTTACCATGAACATGTTCGGTGGCCTGTCATGTAAGAGACGTGAGATATAAATAAGGTTTGTTCCATGTGATGTAAAGAAGCATCTCTTTTTCCTTAACCCCCAGTAGAAAACTGTCGCATATGGTACCTAAAACCAGCTGTGCACTTAAATCGGCAGAAGTCAACAAGGGCATAACAAGTCTTCCAGCATTTGCCCCCATTACATCATTAAAGACTAGAAATTGCCAGAGCAGAGGTCAGGCTGGCATCCCACAGAGAAAGAAGCACAACTTGATCCTCCAATCTGCTTATTGGTTCCCCCGAATCATTGGAAGGAGAAGAAAACATCAAAATATATATATATCCACTTCGTATTTCCTTCTTTCTATAACAAATTACAATCTCAACTCTTAAACAGCCGAAAAAAGAAAAAGGGGAAAAGGGAAATCAATTAGTTAGCTAGCTAGACAAGAACAGAACTGCAAAAATCAAAGCCATAAGGCTCCAGCTTCTTTCAAAATAGGAACCAATTCTCCTGAAATATGAGTAGCCATAAGTGTATCCAATCCACCAAACAACTTTCCACCGATGAAAAGAGCAGGAAACTGAACTTTATTCTTATTATTCCCCTTTCCACCAATATCATTACCAATCATTTCCAGTTCTTCTAAAACACTAATCTCATCAGCCTCATCAATCTCATAAACAGCTGGATTCACACCAAGCCCTAAAAGCAAACGTTTCGCTACATGGCTCATGCAGCATCCACGTCTAGCAAACACTATGATTGCATTCTCTTGTACCATCTCGCTTATATTTCTTGACCCTTTGAGCACTTGTTGAGCTGCAACCGCTCCCCCATTTCTTTGGTGGCTAATAAGCTGTGAAGGGCTTATGAGAGGCTTGTTGTTGGTGTATAAGGGTAGCCATGACTTGTAAGGTATTGCCTGCTGCATGGTTTTACAATATAGAGAGACAAAGAGAGAAGGAGAATCTGTGAATGTTGAGCTATGGTGCCTAGAAATGAAGAGAAGAGAAGGGTATATAAAAGAATTGCGAGGAGGCGAAGACTTGATAAGTTTTGAAAGAGTCGTGCGTCAACGCAGTTAGGCTTCTACTGTTTTTTCTTTTTTCTTTTTTCTTTTTTTTTCTTTTTTTTTTTTCTGGTGTGACACTGTATGGGCGTTGTGGCTGACGTTTAGCTTATGTCATTCTTTCCTCTTTGCATCTTGATTTTATCAAGTGTGGCCATGAGAATGACCCTTTCTCTTTTGTCAATATGATCGAACCCCCCATCTGGTAGATTAATCTTATCCATCCAGATCTACAATAAATATTAAATTAAACAGTAATAAAAATTAAATCATAATTATGTAAATAATATAGTTTTGGATTACATCATATTAATCTTAACTAAACCGTCCAAATCTTTCGGCATATGATTTTAAGAATGTCTTCATCTTATCTTTCTAATATCTTTTAAAAAATTTATTTCAATGTGAATTTTAGAGTTCTTGTTGGAGTTTGTGAGATCAAGAAAAGAAGGAAGCATCTTTAACTACAAAAGCCAACTTTCTAGATCTTGAAGTCTAGATTGTGTAGTGTTGTGTTGTGTGATGCATGAAAATCGATATGAAAATATAGGAAGAGAAGATCATGTGTGCTTACGTAGTTGCAAACCATGGAAGATTTTCTTACAACATGGTGTGTTGGTTTACATGTTGCATGAGATAATCTTTTATTGTTTTTTTTAGTTTGTCTTTAGCTTGAAATAAAAGAGAGAATTTCTCCAAATTTAGGTTATATCTCATTGCCTCACTCTTGAAACCATTAATTAAAACCATTAATTTGAAATATATATATAAAAAAAACATTAGACGAAGTGACCAATCAAAACCCCAAATTAACTAATAAACTAATGAAAATTTAATAAAAATTATTAGTTTTTTTAAATTAATTTTGATATAAATTAACCCTTGTGACTAGTGAGTAGAATTTTAATCATGTTTGGAAACGTGGTTGAAATCCTATTTTTTTTAAATTTTAAATGTTTTATTAAAAAATATTTGTTATATTTTTATATTTTTTCATGTGATAATCTTAAAAATAATTTAAAAAAATAAAAAAATATTATTTTAATATATTTTTAAATAAAAAATACTTTAAATTATAACGGTTTTCCAGAATGAGATTAATAATTGTGATTAATAGTATATCAATTTATTAATTACACCTATTTATTGGTTATCAGGCATGGATTTTAATTTGTTTTAATAAAAAAAAAAACCCATAAAAGAAAGCGCCGCTGGCGGACGGTGCGCAAGAGCTGACGAAAGCCACGCTGCAAACGTTAGCCTCCCGGTTACATCATCAAGAATTCGTGTGACGCCAGCGCCTGGTCCCTCCACGTGGATCAGACTGCACTAAATGGTGACGTGTCTTTGTCTCCCTCGCATCAAGTACACCGGCCCTTTCCCGTGGCTATGACGCGTGGTAACGTCAAAAATAAATGTCCCACGTGTTTCAAGGTTATCGTCAGTGCATGATTGGGTGCTTCGCGGCTCCTCGGTTCTCTCATGGGGCCCACATGTCGGTTATTTAAATTTTTGCCAGAGATATATAATTTCTTATGTTTTAAATGGTTGAGATTATGATAATTATTATAATAATATTTTTAAATTTTATTTTTTATTAATATATCATAATTATAAAAAAATAAATTTAAAGTAAAAAAATAATTAATCTTTAAAAATATTTTTTAAATATAAAAACAAACATATTCTAACATTTATTTATTTACTAAGTAATACCATGGTTAAAATTATATTTAGAATGAAAAAACATTATTTTTTAAAAATATTTTATTTTAAAAATAAATAGAGACTAAGTTTTTTAAAGGAAAAATCTCTTAATTAGAATATAACAATAGTATCCTTTTTTTTTCTTCTCTTATAATATTAGTTTTATCTCTATAATTTTTATCTTACACTTGTCAAATGGGTAAAAATGGATAAAAGGGTATGTATTATAAATTATGCACATACAAAGCAAGCATTTTCTTAAAAAATCCAAGAAAATATCATATCAATCTTCAACAATATTAATTAAATTAAAAATTATTTAGTCGAGTTGATCTAATCAATCCTACATTAATTTATTTTAAAATTCAATTAAGATTATATTTATTTTATTTTAAAAATAAATAGAGACTAATTTTTTTAAAGGGAAAATCTCTTAATTAGAATATAACAGTAGTATCCTTTTTTCCTTCTCTTATCATATTAGTTTTATCTCTATAATCTTTATCTTACACTTGTCAAATGGTTAAAGGGGCACGTATTATAAATTATGCACATACAAAGCAAGCATTTTTTTTTAAATATTCAAGAAAATATCATATCAAATTTTAACGATATTAATTAAATTAAAAATTATTTAATCGAGTTAATCTGATCAATCCCACATTAATTTATTTTAAAATTTAATTAAAATTGTATTTTAAATTAATAAATTATTAAATTAATATATTGAATTTTGTTTAATAACACAACCCATAAATTTATTTTTTATACCTAATCATCATCATCATTATCAAAGAAAAAAAAAACATGATCGGTAGATTGGAAGTCAATTAATAACTTAATTTTTCATCTTTAAATAAGTGATTTGCACATGTTGCAGCATTTAAAATGCCAAGCAAAATATAGCATTGTTAGCAACCAAAATTGATTAACATTGCCCACTTGGCCATGTTTTGTAAGTGTATTTAATATGTGTTTGAAAGTGTAATTGTAGTTATTTTTAAAGTATTTTTTATTTAGAAAAGTATATTAATAATATTTTTTTTATTTTTTTTAAAATTATTATGTTAAAATTATTTAAAAACATCAAAAACATATTAATTTAAAATAAAAAATTAGTTTTTTTTAAATATTTTTAAAGCACAGTATTAAGCAGCCACTACTTTAACCTCAATAATGAAAAAATGATAGTTGTCAACACGCAAGGATTTGGAAATTTCCAACCACCTTACATCATTTTCTTGCATCATCTAATCCTAAGTTTATTATTAATTAATCTTGGTTATTAAATATATAACATGCTACCATGGCATGGATAGCGATGAGGCTAGAAAAAATTATCTAGAGAAAAATGGGCAGCGCTATTCATGAGTTGATAAACTTAAATCTGAAAGATTTGGTAGGTCTAGTGAGACTTTAAAAAAATATATATATACTTTAATACTTTAGCCATTATAATATTTGTATAGGTTAGGATATTTAAATTTTGTTTAAGTCTTATACTGGATTTATATTGAATCTTGTGTTATGTAGAGAGATGAGCTCTGGTCTCATTTATGCTTCTAAAGAGATTTATTTATATATATTTTCTTAAAATTAATATTTTCAAAAACATCAAGTTTTAATATATTTTATATAAATATTTCATAAATATCTAATTTATAAAATATTTAATATAAATTTTTTTAAGAGCATAAATGAATATTTATAGAAATATTTATGGAAATGTGTATGTTATATAAAACTTTTTATAGTCCTGGGTCCAAAAATTAATATTAATATGTAGTTTTTCCATGTATAATTAAATAGTTACCCCTTATATATATATATATATAGTTTATCTTATTGTATGATAAAACTAGTCACATAAAATATGTTATTAGAGAGAAAAAACTACCATCTAAATGATATTATTATATTTTTTATGAATGCATTATTAAAAGTATTAATAATTTATTTAAAATTAAATTAAAAAGACACTTAATTTAAATATAGGAAAACTGGTTTAAAGATATTTTAATACAATGATACCCTTGCCAAGCATAGAGGCAGGACTTGACCCAGATCAAGGGTTTTGGACGGCATCATCATGGGGAAAAAAAAAAAAAACCCTAAGTAACTACATGTGTTGGCTCAAAGCTGTTTGCACTAACACAGGTTTAATATTTTGTTCTTCATTGCGGCAAGATTTATGTATAAAAATCTTGCACTACATACAGGGAATATAAAGTCATATGATATAGATGTTTTGAGCAACAAAAATAAATGTTATATTCCACCATACATATCTCACATAATTAATAATTTTATATTTAAGTAGCGCTTAATTATTCGAGATAGAAAAAATAAATATATTCTAGATAAAAAATTAAACATATTTGTTTTTATACTTGTTTTTGTATCTATAACAAAATATATTTTATCTTTTTGTATTTGTTTTTTCTGTTTTGAAATATTAACGGATAAAATCTTATTATTTTTATTTTTTTAATTAATACAAACTATTTGAGGCACTAGAGTTTTTATCCAAAACTTTAATTATAAGCATTCAACTATGCATAAGAATCTCATCATATTATAAATTGAAGAAAAGGTCCACTAGATTTTTAGTACATTGTATTCATGATTTCACACAAGCTTCATCTCCCTTCTCCATTCTTACATTGAGGATATCTTGAATTAGTTTTGCACATCAATAAAGAATCACTAATTTTTACTTAATTAAATCTTGAATCTTAAAGAAATCATTGACATATAAATAATCAAATCTTATTATTTATTATCTTCTTGTAGTCAACCTTATTTATTTAATCATAAAAATCTTGAAATAAATCATTTTAAATTGAACTTTGATTAGAGTCAAATTAACAATTCGAGTAGTGGACTAAACCAGATTAGGCTCGAAATTAGGACAAAAGAAGAAAAAATTTTGGCCTCGAAATTTGAAACATTTTTAATTAGACCATTCAAATAAAGGAACATTTAATAGAAATTACATATTTTATATTTTGTTCGCTTAAAACTTGCATATCATATTTTTTCATTATAATTTTCAAATGGACTTTAAGAGTTTCCAAATGGACACCACTCCCAAGAGTTTCCCTAGGAACTGCGTATCTCCATTAAAAGAAGCTTTCTCAAGCCAAATGTGACCCCTCGTTTCAAAACATCCATCAAAAGAGAGTTAAAGATTTGTTTCACTAATTTGTTCATGAGATATTTCCCAATGGACAACAATGAGAGGGAAACAAAACCAAGAGGGGTTGCAGGTGTATTTGGCATGAGTTCAACTAGAGTCTCTATTTATTCCTAGGGTTCTCCAGCTCCATCTTCTGAAGGTTGAGTAGCAAATCACTGGAATCGAGGAAAACTTTGTTGGCTGAATTTGAGATTGTATGTGCAATTTCTCTTGCAGCTTCAATCTTCCTTAGAGTGATGAACGCAGGATTGTTGGCAATGGCTTGACCAATGAGCTGAGCACTGGTGGCCTCTCCCTGTCAACCATTCAAGGAAAAATTATTACAAAGAGAAGGAGGATGGGGTACGGAATTCCAAACGTAGAGTGTAAGGAACGGAGAGAGTCCTCATTCTAAAGAGGATTTTAGCATTTTTTTTGTCTCACCTCGGCTCTGATAACAGCACTCTTCTTATCTTGTTCAGCTTTTTCCACAATAAATTTAGCCCTCTCAGCATCTTGAGCAGCCACCTGTTTAGCTTCAATAGCAGCAGTAAATTCTTTCCCAAAAGTCAGGCTTGTAATGGACACATCATCCAGTGCAATGTGAAAATTGGATGCTCTTGCTGTCAAAACCTTTCTTATTTCTCGACTAACAGCCTATAAAAAAAACCAAATTAGTCAACGCAGGATGATGCACGAACAGCTAAGCACACAAGGAAGAATGGACAATATAATCCTGAAGACAATGCAAAAGTAATGGAGAAACTAGAGAAAATCCGATCAATATCTTCCACATTTCTCTACTAACAGCCTATAAAAGAAAACTCAAATTAGTCAAAGCAGGATGATGCATGAACAGCTACACACACAAGAGAGAAAGGACGATATAATCCTGAAGACAAAGCAAAAGTGATCTAGAGAACAACCAATCAATATCTTCCATATTTCTCTACTAACAGCCTATAAAAGAAAATTCAAATTAGTCAACGCAGGATGATGCATGAACAGCTACACACACAAGAAAGAAAGGACGATATAATCCTGAAGACAATGCAAAATTAATGGAGAAACTGGAGAACATACGATCAATATCTTCCATATCTCTCTACTAACAGCCATCACAAAACCAACGTGAAAGCCCACTATCACATTAATGCCCAATGGAAGACTAAGGAACAATATTAATCATCCTAACATAATATAGAGTGCCGGCGAGTCAACAGATAATGATGCATGAACAACTCAGACACAAGAAAGTGGAGCGAATCTAATCCTGAAAATGATTTAGCATCATAATAAATGCAAAGAAATTGAAAACCGGAGAATAATTTATTTTCTTCCATGAACTGCCTAAATAAACTAAGGCAAACAATTTCTTCCATGAACTGCCTAAATAAACTAAGACAAACAATATGTTTTCTCAACTGGATACACACAATACTGAAGGACCATTATAATCATAACCAATATGAAAGGTCATTTCAAAATTTCAACAAAATTAAAAAAAGCATTGAGAATCTAAAGCCAAGTTAAACAAAGCAGTAGCTCTTGCTGATCATGGGATTGGAACTGGGAGCTTTTAATTTGCACCAGAAATCTGAATTATTAGTTATTATTACCTCTCTCTGAGTAATAAGCTGGCTGGCATTATACTGAGCAACCACAGATTTCAATGTTTCATGAATGATAGAAGGCAAGACTCTGTCATTATAATTTTCACCAAGGGTTCGATAAATTTCAGGTAGCTGGTCTGCCACAGGACGAGTCAGAACTCGAAGCCCAATCTTCACCTGTTAACATATTTAAAACCCAATTTAGAGAGATGAATTGTAAGGATTTTACTAACGCATAAGATAGAAAACTTAAGTTCCATATATTCACAGGTGAAAAGGCAACTACCATCCATACAACTCTTATATTCATGGCTCTAGCATCCATCATAATCATGTTAACCCAAGAGCAATACCCAGAATTGATTACAAAATCACAAAAAAGGCAGTGGGTTCTAAGAAGCATGCATGAGGCACAAGTCAAAACCTTATGGCTATAAAAACTGAGGCAAGAGTGCCTTTGCCTACAAGGACTTCAATGACAGACAGATGGACACATAAAAGAAAGGAGATATTTGAACTAAGGGAATAAACAAATGAACAAATGAGTGAGACCTGCAGAATCTTTCCAGGGAAATGGAAGCCAGAAAAGGATGGAAAATTGTTAAAATACTTTCAAGATTTTGCAGTTAGAGAATCTATATACATCAATAGGGAAAGAAAAAACAAGAATGACATTACTATCATTTTGACTTCTTTGAGCAATATGTGACCAACAGGGAAAGAAAAAAACAAGAATGACAGGCCTTGCTATAAAAAAAAGGAACATCAAAATAATTATAGAAGTATAGAAACTGAAGAATTATTGTCTATCAGATTTCTGGCAATTTCCTACAACAAAAAATTAAAGAAATATGAAAGGCAGAAGAAATCTACCATTTGGAGATCACGACTTCCTGAAGTACTCTCTACCAGATTGGGTCGTGCACGAACATCATATATGATGGGACGCTCAAACCATGGAATCATAAAGTGTGTCCCCTCAGGATAAACCTTCACATTGAACAATAAATATTAGAGCACACACTAAAATGCAGAAATTAAAAAGATTTCTTAGTATCGCATTCCAAATTAAATTATGGCGAGGGGGGGATATGATACAGCATAAGTTTAACACACATTAATAGATTAATTACAAATATGAATCAAAACCCCAGTTTCGAACAGGTCAAAACCTCTCCCCCAAACTCAAACAAAAACTAATCACCACACCATGAGAAGCAGGAAGCATTCCAGAAAGCCTAAGAAAATTGTAACTTGTGAAAAAGGAGATAATGTTAGAGTTTAGACAGCCATGCTGCTTCCTAGAGGCTTTAAGTTCATCTGACAATCAAATCACCAATTAAATAATTTTTTAACTTCTTTATGTAAAAGGTATAATGAAAGATGGATATTTCCAAATTCAAAAGACAAAATCAGAAAAGATTGCATGAATTTACCATATGACCTCAATGACACAACATTGTTAAACAACATAGATAGCAAATAACACAAGCTAGTGTTTTTAGTTCTTTCAGAGAGCATTAGTGAAGTGCAGCTTAATTAAAACAGACCAAGAATCAGTTAAATTACCCATCAACACCAACAACAAAATACAGGCAGTGTAGTGTAGATAACAAAGGCCCAATCAATCAGCACCACATTTGATAAAACCAAACGAGAAAACCAATTCATATTTGACAAATATTTCTCAGAAAAGTAAACAGCTAATCATGACACACAAAAGAAAGTAATAACCTTCTCTTTGATACCAACTATACGGTTGAACATTATAGCTCGATGTCCACCATCAACATTGTAAAGACTGCTAGTAGCTCCATACAAACCAAGCCCACCAAGAACTCCTATCTTAATCAGAGTCCCAATGACACCACCACCTGGCACCTTGGGTACTCTCACATTGTTGAAATTCATCTTCCCAAATTTTGACAACACAAAATCATTCATTCACATTAAGAAGGTCAACAGTCAACATCCAAAGCAAACCAAGAGCATGGACTAAAGGCAAAATTCAATGTTAACATAAATAGCATCAAAGGGATTGTTCATTCCCCATTTTCACATTTCCTGCTCTACAACACAAATCCAGAAAAACCCATCAAGGAAACTCAACCTAGAACACAAGAAGTTTATAACTTTTCTTTCTGGGCATACAATTTTGAACAAAGTCAGAACTTTATAAAGCAACTGAGCTTAATAAAAGCAGACAAACAGACCCTTTTGAAAAAGAAGAGAACTTGTCAAGTTACTGACTAAAATGAAGCACAAGGATCAAACTTTAAGCTTTTAGATCTCTCTTTACTTGATTTTAGTTCAGAATGGATAGAGCCCAGTTGAAATATGATGCCCAAAACATTAATAAACAAAAGATAGCATATTTCAAATTAAAATGAGAGAAGCAAAGCAAGGAGGGAGACCAAAATGATAAGCACACCTTAGGTAGGGTCTTCTAGCGAGAGAGAGGGGTTTAGGGTTTATAGCGTCGAGAAGAAGGGAGAGAAAGGGAGAAGGGGTTTAGGGCTTTTACCTAAAAAGAGCAAGGAAGCAAAGGCTCGCTTGAGCAGAAGGTCAAGAAAATGTAAAACCAAGCCCTGTGAATATATGAGGTATGATGTCTCCGTAATTGAGATAAAAAAATCTTCTAATTTTTCTGATTTAAAATTATAAAATTATTTTAAAAATATTATATAAAAATTTTTATTTAAAATTGTAGTAAATGATATTTTTAAAGTAATTTTTATTTGAAAATGTATTAAAATACTATGTTTTAATATTTTAAAATTTACACTTTAAAACAATTAAAAAACATAAAAAAAATTTAAACTAAAAAAAAATTTAAAAATACAATTCAACAATAAAAACAAAATTTTTTATTATTTCTCATTAAACCACATTTCTGTGTTCTGTTTTTCATTTACATTGTGTTTTTTTTTCTTGATATATATATATATATATAAAGAAGCAAACTTAATACATAGATGTGAGTTGTGACCCAAGAAGAGCCAAGTCAGAAACAGTTAATAACCAACAAGATTTCGTTATCCACTTTCAGACATTGCAGGCTCCTCCTCACTCATTTTTCTCAAGAAAACCGAAAAAAATGGCTTCTTCTTCTTCTTCTTCTCCTTCATCTCTGCTGCTCCCACTTGGTAATTAATCAATCTCCTCTTTGATTTCTCCACTACTTCGTTTCTGCAATCATGTTCATTTTTCATATTTATTGTGGCAGGTTCATCTTCTGGCAAAACTACTCTATTTACCAAAAGACATGGCATTGTCAATGTCTTTGACAAAGTCCAAGGTTTGATGAACATTAGTGTGCAATGCTCAAACTTGGAACCAAGAAGTAGAGGATCAAGAGCAAGAGAGAAGAAGGTGGATGCAAGTTTGATTAAGAGAAGGGATTGCGTAATTAGGCTGGTATTTGGGGTTTCAACTCTTTGTAATATAGGCTCATTTGATAATGTTGCCAAAGGAGCTGGATTGCCACCAGAAGATAAGCCAAGATTGTGTGATGAAACCTGTGAGAAAGAGCTAAAAAATGTATGGTGAGATTACATGGACCCCTTTAATTAAAATTGATCATTTTCAAATTGTGGGTTGTAGTAATCCTGTTTGTTAATGAAGGTGCCAATGGTGACTACAGAGTCTGGGTTGCAGTTCAAGGACATTAAAGTTGGTCAAGGCCCTAGTCCTCCAGTTGGTTTTCAGGTGTGTAGACTTATTCTCACTCCTCTGGCACACCTGAATTAGCTAGCCAGCAATTTGAGAAAGAAATGGCATACTAGCTATTGTCAGTCTCTTGCTCTCTAGTGTTCCATCTTCTTCAGCTTCTAGTGTTTCTATGGGGTTCTTACTGACCCTTTATAGACCTCCAGATAAATTAATTGAGACTTCGAATATCATGTATGCTATGGTGTCTAAGGGCTCTAATGACCATTTCTGGCTTCAAAGATTCACCAATCTATACTGAGGATCAGTCCATATTTGTAGCTTTTTTTTTTGTTCGACGGTGAGGAGTGTTCTTGCTAAAGCTTGTATGCCGATTAAGATTAAATTTTCTCCTCGGATGATCTTAAGTGGGAACTCCCCTATATCGTTCTCGTGCATTCAAAAAAAGTTTAATAAATTCTTTTGAACATTGATCCCAAGATTCGAACCTAGAAACTCAAGAAAAGGAACATGCTTCATTAACTACTAGGTGAATCCTTGGATAATGTTTAGTTATTTTCTTGGAATCGAAGAGAATGAGATAGTCGGAGCATGTCCTCTTGTCCTTTATGTTTTGAAAGGAAAAAAGTTCACTCAAAAACAGTTTCCTAAACAAATTTATTTTTATGTCTAGTCTTTATTCCTTCAACCAAACACGTTTATATCCCTTTTATATTTGTGTTTTCTATCTTGGAACACTATGGCATTAGTTATAAGAAGTGGCCCCATCTAGTGGATGACTAGTTGGACTGAGATTTCTTGGCCTGCCATGATTACATTGAGAAATTCGTTTGTTCTTTCATTTGTCCACCCCATCTAATGACAGTATCATCATGCTCACAGGTTGCTGCTAATTATGTTGCCATGGTTCCATCTGGGCAAATATTTGACAGGTAATTTATTTTTATGTTTTCTAATGGTTAATTAGGGATACCAATGATAAACATTTGAATGAAAAAAGAAACGAGGATCTATTGCTGTTATATTGCGCAAAGCAAGGTGTGCATTCATTTATCACATATATAAAGAAAGAAAGAAACAATAGAATGCATGTTGCTGATGCTGCTACTGAAAGTTCAATCCTGAAGTCCATATTCAAGCTGTGCAACAAAGATTGTGCAAATCCAAGTTCTTGAAGGAAGCTGTAATGAAGCCTAGGCGCTCTCAGGAATTTGTCATTTGTGGGGGTCGATTGTAGCTAGATTGTGTCGCTAATTGTTTTATTCTTTGCTTGAGATTTGTACAGATCTCTATTTTGTAAGCAGGGTATCTCCTGCTAAGTTATTTTTTCCTGATAGAAATTATTCATTCAAAAAAAAAACTTTTGGATGAAGGGGACAGAGGAGAGTTGGTATCTGTGGCCAGTTTTCAGCCTAAAAGATTGGCTGTTTTGGTTTTCATTCTTGCACTTGCTAGCAAGCGCAACTTGCTCAACTTTTAAAATTGTTCCTCTCACATTTTGCAGTTCATTGGAGAAAGGGCAGATCTATATCTTTCGAGTTGGCTCCGGTCAGGTAAGCTCCATAGATGGTAATCCATTTGAAGCTTGGGCAGTGCCCCTGATCATGAAAGTGGGTTTGCCGTTTTTAGCTTCAAGTGTGCTAACAGCTTCAAATTTTGATTTTGTTCTATAACGCACCTATGAATATCAGTTAAACTTGTAGATAGGTTTCGATGCATGTGATCTGAGAGTAGATAGATAGTGCCAAATGTTCCTTACCTTGTTGAATGATCTCTAAATTTCATTGCATGGTAAGCAGCATTGCATAATGTCATATAGACTATAACCACACTCTAGTGACTGGAATATGAGTATCAGGAATGCTCTGTCATTGACTTTTTCAATTTGAATGACTAGAATAGGTGATCAAGGGACTTGATGAAGGGATTCTAAGCATGAAAGTTGGAGGGAAGCGCCGGCTCTACATTCCCGGACCGGTAATTTATTCACATCTTACTCATTTTCCAACCAGAAGAAAAAAATTGTAGATAACTGCAGAATGGATATCCCATAAGGCATCAGCTGCATTGACCTAGGTTAGTTGGATCCTATGTCATGCCGATGATGCATCAGCAGACTTTTTCGAGGTTTAAGGAGCTAGTAGCGAATCCCAAAACTTAATGCCTTGGCTTCATACATATCGATCCATTTGCCCGTAATTTGTTCACTGGAAAAAAAACCGTAGATAACTGCAGAATGTATATCCCATCAGCTGCATTGACCTAGGTTAGTTGGATCCTATGTCATGCCGATGATGCACCATCAGACTTAAAAGTCCCACCTTTCTCTGCTATGCACTTTCATGAGGTTTAAAGAGCTAGGAGAAAATTCCAAAGCTTAATGCCATGGATCTATACATATTGATCCATGGACTGCCATCGCAAGATGAGATGGTCTGCTGCTGGCAACATCTTTCAAAGTGTTTTCTAGACAACCAAACAAGAAAGCCCATCTGCAATTAAGCTTCTAACAGTGTTGTTCTCATGGCTTGTTCTTGTTTCTAGCTGGCATTCCCAAGAGGACTCACTTCAGCTCCAGGAAGGCCAAGGGTGGCACCAAATAGTCCTGTAGTTTTCGATGTCAGTTTGGAATACATACCAGGCCTTGAAGTGGAAGAAGAATAAAACTCAACCAAAATCTTCATCTCCCATCAATCCTTTCAGTCTTGCCTCTCTCCCATTTCATAATTTCTCCCAAGAGGTTTAAAATTTGATTTCTTGCATTGTACGCCTTCCATCTCTCCATTTTTTTTCCTGATATTGTACAAATTGAGTGTCCATTTCTTGATGTAAGTTTTGAGTAAACATCTTTCCAGTCACTGCCTCAACTTGTTTCCTTCAAGAATAGTCTATAACATCAGGAAAATTCAGTAACCTTCTTTAATTCAGTAAATCCTAAGAGAGTGACTCTGCATAAATTTGTTGATGTAAACAAAAACAATACAAGAAAGATGATAATTATAAATAAATATAGAGTTCTACTAAAATGAGTCTCGACCATAAAGAATCTTGATTTGAATTTTTATTACTTAATATTTTTTTTATTCAAAACTAAATATTAAACTCTTCCAAGGAAAAAAAGTGCCAGACAAAAACATAAAAATTATAAATTAAATAGAAAATAAATTCTAAATTAACCCAAAAATATAACAAATTCCGAATAGAACTAATTTGAGGGCCTTAACAATCTCTTATGACTTCAAAAACTTAAAATCTTGCGGAGAACAAAGCCTCTAAAATACATGTATGTTAAAAAAGTCTCACCATTTTCGAAGCCAAAATTAGAATACAATGCCTATCCTAGAAGGCTTTAATTAATTTTGGTGTGATTGTTGAAGGTCAGTTGAAAATGTTAGGTAATGTTAAGCCCTAAAATAAATCTTGTTTTGGTAAGAGTTGAAGAAACGATTTAATGAGTTGCTAGCTAACGAGGGTTTCTAATCCCAATTGGGAAATGCTTTTCTTGGGATGGAGGTTGGTGTGAGATGAAAGATGGCTTTCCTAGTTTCAAGAATATGCTGGCCAAGGCTCAAATAGATGCTTTTCTTTTGAAAAATTAAATTTTATAATTTATTATGATTTATTTTATATAAGGTTATTTTAATCTTATCATAAGTTTTATTTTGATATTTTTTTGAATAAATTTTTTAATTTTATCATTAAATATATAATATGTTTATTGAGAATTGAGATTTATATTTTGTTTTTATTACTCTCTATTAGAGTATCATAGTCTATAACCTATATTATGTATTTGGCAAGTTAACTCGGGTTAACTTGAGTTATTTTTTTTTAATTTTTTAAATTTTATTATTCAATATTGGATTGATTGATTATTGAGTTTTATAGTTTTTTTTTATTTGTTTTATATAAAGTTATCATAATCTTATAATACGGGTCATACATTTAGTAAGTTAATAGATCCGAATTAATCCAATATGTCATCATCTCAATATTTTTTTTAAAAAAATATCCTCTTAAATTTTTATGAGTTAAATTATATTTTTACCAATCATCTGAATTGTCTTTAGACACATTAGGTTATTTAGGTCACATTAAGTCTGCTTTTATATAATTTTTTTATTAGAAAAATATTAGCTGCACCTAAGTTTTTTTTTCTATGTTAAAAAAAAAATAATTCGATATACAATATAGCATAGGACAACAATATAGTATATTATTATTTGAAAACTTAGCCTGATCTATAATCTTATTCAAGGCTTGGGTTGGGTAAATCAACCTGTGTCAATTTAAACTAATATTATTTTAAAAAAATTTAAGTTAAAATGATATATATTTAATCAACCTGTGTCAATTTAAACTAATATTGTTTTAAAAAAATTTAAGTTAAAATGATATTATTTTAATTTTTTTTAAATAATCAATCCAGATCTTGCTCAGATTTTGACTAAATCAGTTAAGTCATGAATTGATTTATTAAATAAATCAAGTTTAATCAAATTCAGATCTTACTCCGATTTTAACTAAATAAGTTAAGTTATAAATTGATTTATTAAATAAACCAATTTTAATAAAGTTTATTCTCACTCAATCTAATATAAAACTTAATTCAAGATAGGTTTTGAGTTGATGAATTACCAAATTAGTTTAATAACACAGTAAATATAACTTCTTCACCTGGCAATGTTTTACTTTCCAAGAAAAAAAAAAGGCAATAATGCTCAAGCATGCAGACAATATCAATTTGCATATTGATTTCTTAAAAAAAAAAAAAAACAAATTGCGAATTGATATATCCACAAAATAAATGACATCGAAAGAAGCTATTAAAAATGTATCTACCTCCACGTGCGCTTCTGAGTTCGAAGGCCAAAATGTCATTTAATTAGGTGGAATAATTAAGGGTGATCGTCAAAACCTAATTAAATCCTAAAAAACCATCTCATGCCCTTTTGAACCTCACAAAGTCCTAACAAGCTCACCAACCTTAATTTCCTCTATTAGCCCTAAATAGAATTGCAAATTATATTCTTTAAAAATTCACTTCGACATTTCCTAATAAATTAAATCAACAAGGCCCATCAATCATCTACGCTACGCTATCCATCTCTAGAGCTTAATTCCCTCTCTCTCTTTATATTTAAATATCATCTCATCTTTTAGTTAATTATATGTATATAAAATAATTCTTCAAGAACCTTCTTCGCCTTAAGTTTAATTTAATTTGAATTATATCATTTTATCTAAATCGTTTCATTTTATTAAAAATAAAAAATAATTTAATTAATTAATTAATAGATTTATGTAAAAATAAAAAATAATTTAATTAATTAATAGATTTACAACAAGTTAATTTAATTAACTAGAGTTTTAAATTAAATTAGAATATAAATAAATAAGATATTATAACTTATGAAAATATTTATGATAAAATAACAATTATTAACCAGGCAGATATTTCCCTTCAAACACCACCAGATTCAGAGAATGCCATGGCTAGTCAATAAGACCACAATTGTTTTTCTTGCAAGTCAATATATTGCAATATTTAAATCTATATTTATATATAACTTGTACAAAGAGAACATGAAACTAACCAATATCTCTTTGCTCAAATATTACTTAATTATATTTTATAGTTTAAGGGGAAAGGAGAAAAAGAATGCTAGGTGGGCTATAAGTAGAAAGTTGTGGCAGCTCAGAAACTTGCGAAGATGATGAAAGGATCGCTTCAACCTCCCTCTCTCTCACAAACACAGACAACAGATTAAGTTATGCCCATAGGTGATGACTTATAACTGTCTGTTAGCCCAGAAGTTGCATCAACCTCCTGTAAAAGTCGGTCCAAACCTTCCCATCTCTCTAACGAATGATCAAGACATCTCTCTCAATATCGCCGTCTCCTTTTATATATTTTCTTTCCATACTTGTCTACTTTGCCACCAAATTATTGTTTGATCACCATCTCTGATTGCTTTCTTTTGTATCTCTTTGTCCCTAGCTCTAGAAAACTTTGTTCATATGTATTTGTGATGGTAAAAAAAATAGAATAACAAGAAAGGAGTTAGCTAGGGTTTTCTAAGTGTAGATGGTGTAAAGAACCCTAGCTTTGAGCATATATAGCTAGGGTTTTTTTTTTCTTTTTTTTTCCCACCTGTATGTTTTCTTGTTGTATACTAAGGTAGAAGATCTTCATCGGATGAGTACCAGGGGCCATTGGAGGCCGGCTGAAGATGAGAAGCTTCGCAGGTTGGTGGATCAGTATGGTCCTCACAATTGGAACTCCATAGCCGAAAAGCTTCAAGGAAAATCAGGTGAAATTTTAATTTTTTTATTAATCCATGGTTTTCCGATTAATATAATTTATTACCACTCTTGTTAGGGATGATTGAACGGGTCATGGTTGGTTTTTTATTTAAAAAGAATTTAGACTTGCAAAAACTGGAATATATCTATATATGTACGTATGATTGTGACTAGTAACTAACCCAAAAATTGTAAATCAAATCAGGGAAGAGTTGTAGGTTAAGATGGTTTAATCAGTTGGATCCAAGAATCAACAGAAGCCCTTTTACAGAAGAGGAAGAAGAGAGGCTTCTTGCTTGTCAGCAGATTCATGGCAATAAATGGGCTGTTATTGCAAAGCAATTTCCTGGTCGTACTGATAATGCCGTGAAGAACCATTGGCATATAATCATGGCAAGAAAATGTAGAGAAAAATCAAGGATTCATGCAAAAAGAGCAGCTTCTCAAGCGTTGTTAGTGAATGAGCAGAAACATTCTTTCTCAAATCAAGACGTGATGAGGATCGTGAATTGTGAGCCAAGGAACCTTGCCCCATCATTTTTCCACAAATTCTGTGGAAGTTATTGCGATTGTTATCATCGTCCCTTCTGTCTCAACTATCCGTCCTTTTGCAATGAAAATACCAGCCATCATGAAGGTAACCAAAGAAGATCACCATCAAACATGAAAATTTACACTCCTAGCTAGGTAGAGAATGAAAAAAACTTTGTGCAGGTACTAGCTTTAGTTTATGAAAAAGTACTTTACAGGTCAAGTTCAAACGCATCAAAACTATCTGATTGGTTGGTGTAATGAATCCCATGAATCCATGCAACGTTATTGTTTTCATATATAAGTGCATGGATTTTTGTAATGTATGCCCCGTTTGATCCCTATGGGCTAGATCATACAGCAATTTTCAAGTTTCATGATGAAATATATATAGACGTTTTTCTATATCTTAATTTCTCGTGATTATATATGTACTTAGTTTTTTTTAATCGATTTCTTTATGCATGTATAATTTGTGTAAATATATATTGCAGGTAAACCTCTAGAGTTCTATGATTTTCTCCAAGTAAAGACTGATTCTACCAAAAGCGAAGCCCTTGACAATGCTAGAAGAGATGACGTTGAGGTAGATCAGGAAGCCAGGGAATTACATCAGAGAAAGGCTAATTTTCCTTTCATTGATTTTTTGTCTGCTGGAAACTCTAATTAGCGGGTTCCCTTCACTTCATTTATAGTACAAATGTAAGCAGTTATTTACGATCACACTTAATTATTACTACTCAAATGCATTGGCAATTAGGCATATATATGTTGAAGAAGACAGCATGTGGTAGCTAGGCATATATACTTCAAATCACAGCCATGAGCGTGGATCGTCTTATATCAAAGAAACAGCCGTGGCTTAATTAGTTTTCCATGCAGGATAACTAAAGAAATAGCCATGGAAGGACTCCATTAATTTCTGTACACGATCAGAACATCAACCGTAGATGTTCTTCACACATCGATTAACTCTTTGCATGTGCAAATTGAATAATTTCACAATGATATTCATCCTTCGCATATTCTTTTCGATTCTCCATAGCCTTTTGAGTTCATACATGAAAAAGGAGGCGAGGTTAATTGGAATAATTAGACTAGTGACTCTAAATGATGTAATCAAGCACTCCAGAAAATAATTTAACTTCTATTAATTAACCACCTGCAAAGATTCAATGGCGTTATCAAATTAAGATAGATATTTACATTTTGACTTGATTTGTGATTAAAGAGGCATGACATTGACAGGACTTGCAACACCAAATACATTTGTCTTTGCTTTAGTTGTTCATGCATCAACAAGAGCACAAAAACAAATGTCTTTCTTGTCATTCGATCAAATATATACATGTTTTTTTCCCTGTATATGTTGACATTAATTACCTCACTTACGTCAATCTAGCTAGAGGTGTAACTTCTTGAAGGTGCTTTTAGAGCAACACAACTTTGAATTGTGTAGGTGTTTCATCATACCACGTCTTAGATTGCAACTAACGATATTGTTTAAGACTCAACTGAAATACCTAGATAGGGAGAGAAAATTCGTGGTTTGAATTTGGGGAGAAAATTGAGAAGGACATCTATCTAGAAAACCGTGAATGAGAAGAATATCAATAAGCCATTTGATTCGCACAGCATTTGATGGAATTAATTTAATTTGTCCATAATTTGTCCAACCCTCAATGATGTTTTTCATAGCAATATTTTTGTTCTTGTGTTACACAAGTGTAAATTCAAAACACCTTTGTTGACTAAACTTATATTTGTTTTAATATATTTAATTAACTTATATTTAATTTGATAAACTCACAGTTTATATTATAAACATTACCATAATAAATAATTTAGCTAGGTATGGATCTTTTTTTTTTTCTCTTCTCGGTTAGGCTTTTATCAAATTTAAATGAAAAGAAACTTAAAATTAAATTAAAGAGATAATAGAGAATTAGGAATTGAATAGAACAAAGAAGATAAAGAGTATTTGACACTTGTGAGGAGGGCCACCATATCGAGGAGGCTTGTGTGGTTTCGTTTGAGCTTCTATGGAGGCCTTTTTTAATATTGTTATAATCATCTCGATAAAGGCATTCTTTTATAATTATCTACGTTGGCGGTAGTGCTTCGACATCATTTTAGTGACTTATTTTTCTTTTTCTTTTTTCTATTTTCTCCCCTTGATTTATGTGCTTGCTTTCTTTGGTTCAATTAAGTGTGTATTTGGTAACGTGATGTAAAATATTTTTTATAAAAATACTTTTTAAATAAAAATATATTAAAATAATATTTTTTAAATTTTTTTTACATTAACACATTAAAATCATCAAAAAAACATTAATCCAATGCTTTTTTAAGCGGAAAATAATTTTAAAAACATTTTAAAAAATGAGTTGAATCACAAAAATATTAAACACACCCTAACATTCTTACTTTACATAAATATTATTAAGCTATGAGCCTCAGCAATCTATAACTTTCAAGTAATCCTAAACTCACCTAAACATGTTTGACAAAGTGTTTTTTTAAAAAGATATTCATAGAATACAATATGGTTGTTGTTGACGTTTCAACATAGAATGATCAAATAATTAATTACTTGCATATATATTCTATGTTTTAACAAACTCACTTCCTACTTAATTTCTTCACAACACACGTACGCATCTCATAATCAGAGCTGGACTAAGTCTTTATTAGCAGAGACTTTTTGTCTGCAGTTTCCTCTTAATTCATCGATGCTAAACCAGATATTGTATGTTGTGTATCAAATCCTATTAAATTTATACATTAATTTACTCAATATTGCAATGCTTAATTTGGCCTGCCAGAGGGATTCTTGTTTTGGTTCTCTTCGTCCTTGATGCTTGAATTATTTGTATATTTATTTTGTGTCACAATATTTCTGCTGCCATTCCTACATGGGAAGCGCCATTGAAGAGCTTGAAGAAGAGTTCTTTGTTGTCTCATGTACAGCCATTCACAACATCATAGGAAAATTATCCATGATCATTAGCAGCAATTTCTGAAGCACTCTCGGACCTTATTTTTCGAATTAGGCACCAAAAATTACGTCCCTCTTAATAAATGTCCGTTTAGAATTTCATTTTAAAAGTTAGGATATATACCAGACTAGTTTTTATGTACAAGATTAAAAAAATATTTGATAATATAACAACCATTATTTTTAAAATGAACTTTTTTTAAGAAATATATTAAAATAATATATTTTTATTTTTTATAAATTATTTTTGATATCAGTACAATAAAATAATATCAAAATATCAAAAAATATTAATTTAAAATAAAAAATTAAACATTTTTAAAAAATAAAAACAAATATACCTTAAGTATTTATTTGATATAATGACAGCTTTTCTATCACGATACCTTCCATTAATTATTAATATTGGTATACAAGAGTTGGGTGCCTCGCCTAATTGGTGACACCTTCTTTTCCCTACGTACATCACTATTGTAAACTTATGAGAATTAATAAAATATTAAAAAGGATTAAATTATTGAAGCCACATCTACAAAATATTATTTATTAGAATAATAATTTTATCACTATTGTAAACTTATAAGAATTAATTAAAAAATATTTATAAATATTAATAAAATATTAAAAGAAAGGACTAAATCATTGAAGCCACATCTATAAAATATTATTTATTAGAATAATAATTTTTTTAATTTTTATTTTATCCTTTAATAATATGTTATTTTATGAATTGTGTAATTTTTTTCAATTTCATTTCAATTTAGTTATATACTAGTCTCAATATTTTAACTTTTTTTTTATTATTGATTTAAACCTTTAATACTAGATCTATTAGAAGTGGGTTTTTTTTTTATTGTTTTCTAAGAATTTATTTTAATCTCATGACTCAAGTCTTAAATTTAATAAGTTAAATTGGGTTAACTTAAGTTTTTTTTATGCTTTTTAATTGATTTTTTTATTTCATCTTTGGATATTGAATTTTTTAGAAATTGAATTTTATTTTTTTTATTTTTTTCTATAAAATTATTCTAATCTTATGATCTGGATATGAGTTTTACAAGTGAACTCGAGTTAAATTTATTTATTTTTTGATAATTTTTTAATTGTATATTTTTTTTAATTGGGCTTCATATTTTTTTTAATTTGTTTTATATATGGTTACCCCAATTATCTCATGACTCGATTTACTAGTTTGACAGATTAATTCGAGTTAAATTTGTTTATTTTTTAGATTTTTTTAATTATTTTTTTAATTTCACCCTCCAAAATCTCAATCTTATTTCTTTTCATTTATTTTTTTAATTTTATTTGTTCATAGTAAGTTGTTTTGGAATTAAATTCTGTAGTGTTTTTTGATTTATTTTTTATGGAGTTATTCTGCTCTTATATATTAGTTTTTTTTTCTCAATTGAACTTGCAATAATGAATTTGTTGGAAATAAAACTTTATAATCTTTTTATTTTCTTTTATAAAGTTATCATATTTCATAATCTAGGTCACAAATTTAACAAGTTAGTCAGAGTTGACTTAAATTGTTGTTTTTGTTTTTTCTTAATTTTTTTTTATTCCATCCTTCAACATTGGTTAGTTGAAAATTGAGTTTGATATTTTATTTTTTTATTTTTTTATGGGTTTATCATGATCTCATGATATAGATTGTTAATTTGGAATGTTAACCTGGGTTAATCCATATAGTTTTTCTTGTCCTTTTTTATTTTTAAATTTAATATTTAATATTAAATTAATTAGAAGTTGATATTTATAATTTATTTTAATTTATTTTTTATAGAGTTATCACAATTTCATAACCATGGCTGCAAGCATAAAAAATGTATTTAAAAAAATCAATAAGTTAACTTTGGTTGATTTAACATCTCATCATCTTAATATTTTTAAAAAATATATCATCCAAAAATTATCTTATTAATATTTTAAAAAATTGTCAATCAACATAAATTATATTTTAAGTTTATAACTATTATTTTTATTAGAAAAGATGTTAGCGTGAATATTTTTACTATATTAAAAAAATAATTCAATTAACCCTCAATGCATATAAATGACTTGATTAGAAATTAATAAAATAATACTTTATTTATTAATATAGATTGAAGTTTGAAATGAAAAAGCAAATAGTGCTTTAATAACCACGGCTGCGTGCACAAAAAAATCAATTTGGAATTATAACGGCTTAATCCAACTTAAAAAAAGTTTATTCTAATTTGTAGATTAGAAAGGTATTTAACCACCAAATAATTCTTTTATTTTTTCAACATTCAAGGCTATTATTGAGGCAACAACTTTGATAGTTGAGTTAGTCTAAATTTTCAAAATTTAGAATAAATTAGTTTAAAGGATTAAAATATTTACTCTAGTAATAAGTCTAATTTGAGTAAATTCTCATATATATATTTTTTTAATGAGTCCAAAGATAAAAAAATTTATCAAAAAATCTAAACTAATTTTACTCAAATAACATTTTGAGGTTAGTGAAGGGTTCACATGAATTATTTTTTTAAAAAATTATTTATTAATGAATATGTAAATTTTACAAGTTAATTTGCATTTTATAATTTATTTATGATTTTATCAAAAAAATATATCATGTGATATTGTGATTCATTGAATGTTTTGATTTTTTAAGATATGATTTTCAATAAATATTTTATATCAAAAATCCTACACAAAACAGAAAAACCATGTGATATTGTGATTCATTGAATGTTTTAATTTTTTAAGATATGATT